ATCAAAAAACGGCTATGCTAATTTGTTGTGTTCTGTATGGAGACAATTTTCAGAAAGTTTGAAATCATTTCATGCAGGGGATTCAGAGAAGATAGTATTTGAAGACAGGTGCCCAAAAAACCCTGTCAAAACCTTGAATCCAATATGGCTGCCAAACCACGTGACCAATGACCAAAGTCAAAGAACAAAAATTATCAAGCAACTGCAGCAGTAGATACATGCAAGGTTTGAAAGTAAACGGGCAAACGGTTGTAGAGCAACAGGGCAAAATATATCGTCAAAAAATACTTGTTTTTCAGTTATCTGCCCTTGGCCTTTGGGCCTACGGCCTTGGCTTTCTGGCGGGCACTAGTACCCAACGGTCTACAAACACACAAAAAATTTGAACAAAGTCGAGCTAGTGGTTATTTTGCTAGGGCAGGTACAAAAATCGGCGGAATAATAAATAATAATAATAAATAATAATAATAATAATAATAATAAATCGAACGATTACAATAGGGCTCTACAGCCTTTCGGCTTGGAGCCCTAATAATAATAATAATAATATAGAAACAATGCATCATACAAAAGTAGGAAGAGTTGGATTTATAACTTAACAATGAATTGATCAGGATCAGGATCAAGTTGATGAAAAACATGTTTGATAAGACGTTAAAAATGGATGTTTTCATATTAATAAAATAAATCCTGTAATATCAACATCAATATCAAATATTCAATTTGAACATTCAAATTTGTTGGAGGGAAAATAATGTAACATTGTGAACATTGTCATATATGAGCACAATTACAGAATGACATGACTAAACTATATGAGCAGGTCTAGATATATCCCGGGATATAGACGTTCGTGGTCAAACCACTAGAGAGATACACATTGAAAACTTGAAGTCCTGGGACCCTCGTTTCACAGAGTGAACTCCCACAGTTTAACATACACTTACTACAGTCGTAGTGCTAAGATCGCTTCATGAAACGAACCCCTGGGGACCATTGGAAATATGGTGAGATTATCTCTCACCAATCTCATTAAAATCGGATCTTAGTTCTCGCTACCGCTAAACAAAGATCTGAGGACATCCCATTACGGGTCATGTCAGACCAACCTTGCGCGAACTTTGACTGACCAATGGACTGACTAATCAGAAGGCAGCTTTCTCGTGCTTAACGGCACTTTTTTTAAATTGGCGACTGCGCTTCGAAACATATTTTGACAAATTCTCGATTACAAATTTGAAACCTGAACAAAAAAACATTCTGAATGGCTAATAGATTGTAAGGATTCAGTCGTTAAACCCGTAACTATCGTTCGGAATACCCCATGTTAAAGTTTTCGAGGTTGCATGATGAGAAATCACATTCCGACTGTCACTTTCATAATCGGGTAAGCGACGCTCTGATTAGTCGGATGAAAGGTCGTTCTGACGTGACTCCTAATGGGATGTCCTCAGATCTTTGTTTAGTGGTAGCGAGAACTAAGGTCTGATTTTAATGAGATTGATCTCTCACTAATGTCCATATGTTGTTGTTATGTTCCCACACCACAATGTCTGTTACACACAATAGAAAACTAACCTCAGGAGGATATTCACAGGGTTTTACGTGATGCAGAAATGTGTGTCTAGTATGCACAAATGTGCAGACTGGACGCAGAAAACACAATATGTTGCGTTCCGAGGGATGCACAATAATATTCATCGTACCAAATCCTTCACAAGAAATATAAACGTCAGTAATTAATGTAATTATCAAATCTTATAGTACAGTACCTTACAACATTTTTATTAATTCACAGGACCCTCATATTTGCTGCTAGGACCCTTGGAATTAATAATTGGGGGTCCCGTGGACCCTGGTTTTGTAAGATAAAATATCGTATTCATTTAGATAGAAGGAAACATTAATCTCTCTTCATGAATTTGATTGTACACTATGTATAGGATACAGTGAATCTTGCCAGCAGGGAGATATGGCTAAAAGAATATTACGAATTCCTGAAATTCCTATTACGAAAGCCTTAAATTCTTCTATAGCTGCCCTTATGACACTTTTAGCTGACATACTGACTCCAATAGTGGGCCAGTGCCATTATGCATCTTGTCTAGAGTTAAAAAAGTGTATTGTATGGCAAAAATATACACGAATGTCATCCATAAGGGAGGATATTCAAAAGAGGAACTTTTTATAGAAATAAGAAATATAGAAATAATGAATAAAAAAATATACATGGACTATTGACACTAGATGGTATGTATGGGGCTAGTGAATTGCTTGTACCAGGGTAGAACTGGATAGGTGGGTTTTCTTTGTTGTCGTTGTGGGGGTTCGGGGATATGTGAGTCAGATATTATGCTGACAATGCTGATATTGCACAAGCAAGATGACAAGGAAGATTATGACCTGGGTTAAGGTCGTCTGTATTTTTAAAATTTTCTCATCTCTGTCAGGCTCAGCTCAAGTGACTGTCCCAACCCCCCCAAATGATTACTATATATCCACCCACTTGGTGAGCGGAATATATTGTCCTGCTCTGAGAAAAGAGAACAGTGTTTTCCGTATTGAAAGTGGCCTGCCTTTTTCTATCTTTCTCACGGGAATAAGGGGGAAGAGTAAAAAAAAAAGTGTGTTTGGGGGGGGGGGGGGGGGGAGCAGTAAGAGGAGGCGGCAGAGATGTAATTTGATGTAATTATTAAATTATTAAACTCATTTCCTTGACTGTGAAAATAGGTTTCACCCCAAACTCCATTGAGGGGATACTTTTTGCATGGTTCAACTTCAATAATTCAACATCCTGATAGACTCTACAAAATTCAACGCTTCAGATACATTGTTTTTAAGTCAAAGCAAAGACAGATTTCTACCACACACAGAAGCACAACATAACACAAAAGAGACAATTAAATGAACCTGATTAAAACAATCCAAGGCACTGAGGGATCACAATGGCGCTGATCTCTAATAAGCTCATTACATCCACAATGGGGAAACCTTCCAACAGATACATGTAGAAACCATGGCAACCACAAAAAGCAAAACAAGGCTGCAAATTAGTCATCAGTTGCTAAACATGTTTAGTGTATCTAAACACAAGTGGGTTTGGTATGAAGACATCCAGTGACATATATCCAACGTTTGAGTCAGAAAAGATACCAAATGCTCAACATTGTATGTTTGGTAACCCTGGTTAGTACAGCTGCTAATATTCATGGTACAGGTTCACACATTTTCAAATTGCTCTACATAATAACGGGGAACCCATTCTTATAGCCACTATCAGGGAAATATTATTGTAACAACCATGCATAGTTTTTTTGTTTTTTTGTTGTTGTTTAACGCCGCAGCAAATTTCCAGCTATATGATGGCGGTCTGTAAATAATCGAGTCTGGACCAGACAATCCAGTGATTAATATCATGAGCATCGATCCACGCAATTGGGATACGATGACATACATCAACCAAGTCAGTGAGCCAGACCTCCTGATCCCCTTAGTCGCCTTTTACGACAAGCATTGTCGCCTTTTACGGCAAGCATGGGTTGCTGAAGACCTACCGTATTCGACGTAATAAGCGCCCAGGGCGCTCTCAAAATTAGAAATAGCTGGCTCTTATTAAAATATTATTTTGGTTGAAAAAAAAACAGAGTTGAAAGATAAATTTCGTGTTCATGTACGACAGATATATTTTTCCAGAATTTAATTGCCCATAATTAAGGTTGCATATAACACACGAGTGCGTATCATACGCGAATAAATAAGTCTTGTGAATATTGATCATCCGGAAGGGGTGCTAATTGGGATTGTTCACTAGCCAATATATTCGCAAATATCGCCGTGGGCGCTTATTAGAGCGGGGCGCTTATTACGTCGAATACGGTATTCTACTCCGGATTGACATGTTTTAAGCATGGTTGGAAGCGAAATCACTGGATTACATTTTGAGTTTACGACCAACCAATGTCGTATCTGACAACAGATTAATAAGACCACAAACAACATTAAGTAGACAATCTAAATAATTACCTGACCAAGAACCAGGTTCTAGAGACAAGGAAATCTTCAAACACATGGTGTTTGTACCTCGCCAACAAATGATCAACTTTAAAAGCATTCAACATGATTGTAGTCATGGCCGTCAGTAGTTCATACAGATCACAGGACTTTGTTTAAACTGGCAAGCATGGTTTCTTTATCACAATTCTATCTTGTCAGTAGTAAGGCTTATTGCATCATTAAATTATCTTTGTAGTTAGGCCACACATAATTTTAAACTTAGTTTACAAAATTCGTCAACTTGAATTGAAATGTGAAAAAAAATATTAAAAAATTATTTAAAAAGCAGTGTTTTTTTATTCTGTTGACAAGGAAGAAGCAAAAGTTTTTAAACAAACCCATTTAGTGTTGCTATCAACAAAAGAAAGTATTTATAATACTTTAAATCAGTTGTAAATTTGAAAATGTATCTCAAAAACTTTGTAACACACTGAGATCCGTGTCGATAACAGAAGAGAGGGCAATCTAAGCTTGCCTCACAGTATCCACACAATTGTTTTTCCACCCTACTAAACAATCTGAGAAAACCAAAATACATATTTACAACTAGAATTGTTATTTTTGTAAACCTTTTGACGGAATTCTTTAAAAAAAATCTGTAAACCCAACCAAAAAAATGTCTGGCCTAAAACACAACTCACTATGTGAAAGTCATACAAAACATTGTACACAGCATTAGAAACTAACAACAAGAAGTTTATTGCCCTAATGGACTAGTGGTGAGTTTACTTGCCCTGATGAACATATTACGTTTGCTGTTTCATTCATTCTCGGCCTTCCGTTTCAAAGGTTTGTTTGGACAAAGAATATGCATGAAAGTCGCTAAATGTCCTGTGCATGACGATACACTTGAGCAGAAAGGGAATTCCCTCGACTGTAATATTGGAATTCCCCGACATTCCGAAGTAATAAAAGTAGTGCGCCTCGGTGGGCATGGCTTAATTTTTTACAGTCATTGGGAAATCAATGCAATAACACGTGACCAATTCAGCTAATCAGAAGACAGGAATTTCAATGAACACAACAAAAATTTAATTATATTATTATAAATGTAATAACCATGATAACATATTTAATAAATCTGTCATGCAATTTCAGGAAAACTCACAAATAGTGAGTAGTGAGTCATAGATGACCCTATAGGGAAACTTTCAAAAATCAGGCAAAAGTCAAGCCAGCAGTGGATGGATGCACTAGCCATTTGGAAGTACAACTAGTCTTGGGTTAGACATATGTTAGATTTACTTTCTAATGCTGGTCCAGCTCAATGGATGCCTCACAATGACATCAGGAAGCACATGATATAACACCCAGGACACATACCGTATATCGCCGTCTATAAAGCGACCCAACGTATAAGGCTACCCCCTGTACAAGGGGGTACAGTAATTGAGAAAGTGTGTTGGCTCTTGCACTGCTTTTAGCAATATTCCACAATATCACATACATAATGGTTTCAGACAAATGGGACTATGTTCATGATGATCACAACCTGGGCCCACATGCACAAAGTGATCTTAGCGCTAAGACTATTGTAAGCCTATGTTAAAGTATGGGAGTTACGATCATCTTAGTGCTGAGTGCGCTTTGTTCAAGTTGGCCCAGTAGTCAAGTGTGTGAATTGGTTTAATGTTTCTTTTAACAGTATTTCAGGTATATTACAGAATGTCAGCTTGATGTGGGAGATAATCTAAAGAAATGAAGGTCTAAGATGTTTACCAATTCCGTGTCTGCCTGCCCATGGATTGTAAGTTTTCTGTCGGGCTGCATGAAATTTTCCTCAAACTGCCTGACTCTCTGGCAGATAATTTTAAGACTACTTACATATTCAGTTTTATCATAACTCCTTGTAGATTCTCAAGTAATTGTTTGCATTATTTCAACAGAATCAAGACATGATTTGTCTCTTAGTGTTTGCGATTTTTCAATAGTTATGATGCCTGAATACGGGCAGGTAACTTTGAAGATGGGCAGACAACACTTATGGGTCACCTGCGATTGTCTTGTTGGATTTTATCATTATTTCAAACACTTTAATACCAATTAAGTGAAACCCACAAGCATGGGTATGGGTATGGTGCTGACAATCCTAGAACCATAATCAGGATGCTCTGAAATTCAAACCCAGGATCAAAGGTTACAACCCTGCATATAACTCTTGGGCCACCCAGACCTCATAAACCAATGTTTAATGCAGCATGCTAAATAAAATGTTAACACCAGGTATTCTAATTGTGACACATCTTCTATTTCACCAACAACATTTGTACGATATTTGAATCTCTTTTCAACAAGCTTGTGTAGAATACTGCTAATTCCACACCACTTCATCTAGTTGTGACTTTACTGATTGACAACACTGAAACACATTCTAAAGAGGTCTTCAGGGCCAGTAATAGAAGCACTGGCACCAGGAGAGTAACTCCGACCCACCTAAGCCCTAATACCTACAACCAACATATTTCTATTGTGGCAGATCCCCATCAAGCTAGTTCAACAGGTGACAAAATATGGGGAACCCAAGGGAGACAACCTACCATGTAAGGAAACTGTACTTGCACATGCCTATCCTGGTTGTCTCCCTTTATCTGAATGTGACACTCTCTAGTCATGGGATTACAACATTAATAATAAAGGGCTTCAAGGGGCCTTGAGGTTTTCTGATATGGGAACCCTCAATCTTTGAGTTTAACATCAGGGTTATGCAAGGACTATTTGACTTTTCCTCAATTTCGAGCACAGTAGTGGTAATATAGATCTATGTAACATTATCATGCATGTCTGATGAATCCGAATAATGGTAATGCTAGCCTTCTTGAAGCTCTTCACAGCTTCATCATGATGAAGTGCCCGAAGAATCCGTTTTGTCATCTCGGTTCTTGTCTCGATTTGAGCGTGGCCTGTCCTTGTAGGCATTTGGTGGCAAGTTGTACAGCTCGTTATCCACTGTAGCTCCATGCAGCACAAACTTCCTGTAGCCTTCTAGAAGCTCCTTACAGCTTTGTTCATCATTCAGGGAGTTGACAGGGAACTTTTCTTTCACTCGTTTACGTTCCTGTGAAGAAGGAAAACTTATAAAATACAATTTCATCCAATCACTGTAATTATAATAAACTGTTACAAACATCTGAGGGATGATAACATTTAATACTGATATCAAATTAAACATGCCCATGTAATTCACCAGAGCTCCAGATATATGCAAAAGAAAATCACCATTACCCGATTAAGTTTGAGTTGAGGTGAAAAAAATAAAAGCACAAGAGTATAACAACAATCTAGGAAATACCCAATGTATCCTTTTCAACTTGGGTACCAATATTTCTTAACAGAGCTTTATTGCTGATTCAAAGCAGGCACCACACTTACGAGTGAGTGAGTGAGTATGGTTTTACGCCGCTTTTAGCAATATTCCAGCAATATCACGGCGGGGGCACCAGAAATGGGCTTCACACATTGTACCCATATTGGGAAATCGAACCCGGGTCTTTGGCGTGACGAGCGAACGCTTAAACCACAAGGCTACCCGGCCACCTCACAGTTATGAATTCTAGTCTACTGCTGTGAATAATGCAAAAACAAGTCGCTAGGTCTGGGTTATTGTTAAGTAGACATGTATTGATAAAATTAGGCAACATGTTACACACTTTGGGCATGACACAAACAGATACAAATTAGAAGTCACCTGAAACACTGGTAAATATTCAGTGGCTGAAACACTTCCCTGATTCCCCCTGCCTATCAATCTCATTACCATGGTAACCTTCAGAGAGTGGGCCACCCGTGTCTCTAACGGGATAAAGAAAACAAGTGAGAATCAATGACTACACACATCTTGTAAGCCATCCACTTCAAACATCTGCAGTTGGTGCTGGAAGCCAAAGTTGGGTCTGGCAACATTACGAGCTCCTCGCACTGCATTTAAGGCATCCTTCCAGCCTAGTTTTGTCACTGTCATGATGTAAGCCGACGTTACTGTCACACTGCGGGAAATACCTGCCAGACTGAAACATACATGTCAATTTGTTATTGCTACTCCTTGTTTAGTCTAGAGAACAATCACAGTGAGGACAAGCATGACTACTACTCTGGGTCAGTAGGTTTTGATATCCACATGGGAGTTCTGGAGTCGGTCAGGTCCCAAGATCTTCTCCAGTTTGTCTCCTTGTGGGGCTTCAGGAGCAGGATAGGTAGACACACCCCATGCTTGTCCCCACCACCCCACCCCCATGTAGGTTCAAGGATAGGTAGACACCCCATGCCTGTCCCCACCACCCCACCCCCACGTAGGTTCAAGGATAGGTAGACACCCCATGCCTGTCCCCACCACCCCACCCCCATGTAGGTTCAAGGATAGGTAGACACACCCCATGCCTGTCCCCACCACCCCACCCCCATGTAGGTTCAAGGATAGGTAGACACCCCATGCCTGTCCCCACCACCCCACCCCCATGTAGGTTCAAGGATAGGTAGACACACCCCATGCCTGTCCCCACCACCCCAACCCCATGTAGGTTCAAGGATAGGTAGACACCCCATGCCTGTCCCCACCACCCCACCCCCATGTAGGTTCAAGGATAGGTAGACACACCCCATGCCTGTCCCCACCACCCCAACCCCATGTAGGTTCAAGGATAGGTAGACAGGCCCCATGCCTGTCCCCACCACCCCACCCCCATGTAGGTTCAAGGATAGGTAGACAGGTCCCATGCCTGTCCCCACCACCCCATCCCCATGTAGGTTCAAGGATAGGTAGACAGGCCCCATGCCTGTCCCCAAGAAGGTATTGTGGGGCATTGCAGGTCCCAAGACCCAACTTTTCTCACATCATCTGGAATACCAGAAGAGGATAGGTCCCTTGGACTCAAGTTTGTCTGCAAGTTGGGATTAAGAGAAAAGACCCTAAGCTTGTCCCTACATGAAGCGTCAGGGGTAGGTTAGGTCCCCAAATCATCATCTTCCCGAGGCAAGGGAGTTAAACGAGGATTAAAGACCACCCTTACCGAACTAGGCTGGAATTATGTAGCTCGATCGTAGCACCACTAGTGGCTATTACAAATTATGTCCCTTCTATGTCCCTCCTACTGACCAATCAGATTCCACCTCTCATATCACTTGCATTGCTTCAAACAAAATGGCAGCGCCCAGTCAAGACGATCTGATCGATAATCAAAGTCTTTATTGTCATGTGCTTTACCCTGCAAAATGCATCAAATCACATGAGCACCTTGATAAAAAACATGGAAAGATTTCAAAAATATCTGTCGACGTCAAATTGTTTGTACACATGCTCTGCAAACCCTGCAATCAACAGAAATCTGCATGGCAGTCACCATGTTCTTTATGAACCAGATGCTGATATCGTTATGTGATTTTGATTGGACTATGCATAGACTCATTAGTCCAGTCAAAATCTAACTCCATATTTCCAGCCTTGTTCGACAAGGGTGGGAACCGGACATGTATAGTCCAATAACTCCCTTGCCTCGGGAAGATGCAAATCCTTAGCTTAGGACCAGATACTTGTACATGAACCATTGCTGACAACTTCAGTTGTCTAGACTTAATCATTTATAGGCTGCCGCTACACAGATTATTATATGTATATGTATAACATTGATTTACTCACTGGCCCTGTGTATGAAGTCATGTACATGATGGACTTACCAGTGAACCAGCACAGACCCACCACCCAGTCTGGCACTGTGTATGAAATCTATACACTGGGGGAAGAATTGAGTCAGATTCTGCTCGGAATTATCGCTGGCCAGGATACACAGATATTCCCTGTCCTGCAAAAGGGATACAACAGGCAGTTACATATCAACTATACACAATCATCTAACCATCATCCTGAACATCTTCCCATTCTGCCATGCACATACAGTACAGTAGCATGTAACCAGGGTGTCAATGCTTGAAGGCATGGTTGTCTGTAGAGACAAGTGACATGCTATTGGATTCTGCCAAAACAATTACCAAACATAGTTAACAACAGTCAGGAAAATCGAAATGATGGAGAGCTGACATACTAATGACATTAAAGAATAAAGAAGTTGAAATGCAAAAGTCAACTCCATCTCCAGAATGTTCAGCATGGTCACAGAAGTAAATGCATACCGTATTTGACGTAATAAGCACCCTGCTCTAATAAGCACCCATGGCCATATTTGCCAACTTTACCTGCATGTTGCCTGGATCTTGCAAACACAATGCCAACATGTTTAGCATTCGCAAATATTATGATACTTGGAGGAGGTGGTAGTGCCTTCCATGTTTGTTTTCACATTACCTGAAGCAGTGCCTTAGCTGTATCATGGATGACAAGTAACCATGGTAACATTACCTGAAGCAGTGACTTAGCTGTATCATGGATGGCAAAGTAACCATGGTAACATTACCTGAAGCAGTGCCTTAGCTGTATCATGGATGGCAAGTACCGGTAGTTGGTTTGGTTGTTGGTTTGTTGTTTAACGCCGCACTAAGTAACCATGGTAACATTACCTGAAGCAGTGCCTTAGCTGTATCATGGATGGCAAGGATGTGAGTAATGTTGTTGGCGTTCAGCTGTTCAACATCTTTTGAATCATGGAAGTTGCCCACGTACAGGCCAGGAAGGATCTGGAAGAAAGTCATACAACAGCTGATGAATGACAGAATCTGTATCATGTAAATTCTATCAATATATCTGTATATCACAGGGGTGTCATGATTCACCTATGTATTGATGCACAATACGCCTCCCCTTGAACAATGAACAGATTTATTTGAATTCTCTATCGATTTGCAACAACTCAGACTGATAACTACTAACTACTGCTACACTGGCCAGAATTGTCTTACCTTCCTATCATGACTAAATTTAACATGGACATGCAAGGTGTTTTTTTAATTAAATTTTTATTGTTCCCAGAGTTGTAGACTAATACAGTATTCCATCAAGATATACTGTATTCGACGTAATAAGCGCCCTGCTCTAATAAGCGCCCGTGGCCATATTTGCTAATTATATTGGGTAGTGAACAATCTCAATTAGCACCCCTTCCGATTGATCAATGTAAGACTTATTTATTTGTGCATAATACGCACTTGTGTGTTATATGCATCCTTAATTATGGGCAATTAAATCCTGGAAAAATATATCTGCCGTATATAAACATTTCAGGCTGTCAGCACAAATCACGAAATTTACGATCTTTCAACCCTTTTTTTTTCCACCAAAATATTATTTTAATAAGAGACCCCTATTTCTAATTTTGAGAGTGCCCTGGGCGCTTATTACGTCGAATACGGTATTTCAGATTGCAATAGAATGATGGTCATGCAAGTTAACACAAACTAGTAGATGATGTTGATAACATCAACCTCTTGTTACATGTGTTTGCTAGGAGCAATCTATAAGCATAATGATGTGTATCATAATTTTACTCCTGTAACATTTTATTGATACCTGAGGTTGGCATAATATCATCTGTATATTCAGAATCATGTTATATGAGAATGAGGAACCAAACACTACCAACCACGCTAACATACTTTTTTGATCTGGAATTCTTATAACGCCTATTCAAAGATTACTTTTGACAAAAAGTAAAGGTATTCATATTTGTAGGGAAGCATGGTCAGTGGTTAACTGCTTTAGGTTTAAGTTATCAAAAATAGTTTAACTACCATTTTTTCAGTGTGCTATATATAGCCTATGCATGATGATATGACCCAACCACATGCTGTTTCACAAATATGGTGCTGTTTTCAGGCGGCTGTTTTAACCACAATCTCATTAAAATCAGATCTTAGTTCTCGCTATCGCTAAACAAAGATCTGGGGACATCCCCTTAGGGGTCACGTCAGAACGACCTTTCATCCCACCAATCAAAGCATCGCTTACCAGAACATGAAAGTGACAGTCAGAATGTCTTTTCTAATCTTGCAACCTCGAAAACGGGGTATTCCGAATGACAGTTTGGCCGTACGACTGATTCCATCAAAATTATCGTCTATCTCTCGCTTCCGTGGGATAAACATTTAAACGGAAGAGGCGTTGCACAGTACGTGGGAAGCACTGCCATACATGAATCACAACCATATATTAGACATTCCGGAATGTTCATTTGTTAAGTTTTCAAAATTTTAATCGAGAACTGTGTTAACATATTTTTCAAGCATAGTCTGAGATGGAAGTCGCCAGGTTGAAACGAATGACGTAAAGCTCGAGAAAGCTGCTTTCTAATTGGCTGTTGACGACTTTCATGAAGTTCATGAAAGGTCATTCTGACGTGACCTGTAATGGGATGTCCTCAGCATGCTCAGATCTTTGTTTAGCGGCAACGAGAACTTAGATCCGATTTTAATGAGATTTTTTTAACCATAACCACCATTACCAAATACAGAGACACTAGGAATAAACACGAAAACACTAAACTTCCACTTCATTAACATGGATGGAAATGAACCCAAACCGTCTACTAGGACATGTACAGCAACAACCCACCCAAAGCTGTTCCTGGCTAGTGCTAATTTACAGCCCTATTCATAAATATGTACGGCTTAATTTAAAGAAACAGAAATCATTTCATGAGCCAAATATGCCCAAGAAGAGTACCCTCTACGGAGTTTTGATGTAGGCCCTAAACTTGGTAAACACTTATTACATAACAATGCGTCGTAAATTACCTTGTTCATTCCGTTTCCCATGTCTGTTATTGTTGTTTGCACAAGCGTCTTGGGTCCTCTCTTTTCACGCACTGAGAAAATGGGGCATCATCTTAAATTTGACTTGGATTAAGTGTTAATTTGGACGTGGGGCATTGTAAAACAACTTTGAAAAATACTTTTGAATATGTAAACATTACCGTTTTGATAAACCGGAAGTTGACATATAGGTTTGTGGTTGTTGCAAAAATTGCCCCCTGAAACGTCTATATAACTTAAATTCTCAATCCTGTACTAAAATTCCTGGTTCATATTGCATATTTAAACACGTGTTAATGATTACAATAGCTAACATTACAGTCTATGCATATTATCTATGTCGTAAAAATATCTCGACTAGTTTCCGGTATAAACAAATGCAAGCATGTGGCAACGAGAAAGTGTCATGTTCGCACAGGAGCACCCGGGAGCGACGTAAACAACACTAATCAGTTATAACAAACATAGAAGTTATCTTTCACCTACTGTGATGCTGCGTGACCGCAAAATACATTAACGTTATCCATTACTGTAGATCGACAGCAGGAAACGTGTTTCTTGACAATTTAATTGCAAGAAATTGAAAAAAAATGTAAGAAATCCCCACAGCACCATTACCCACTTTTTTCGCGAGTCTCAGACTGGGTCCATCATGACGTTACACTGAAACAAACGAAACGATTATTCTCTGTTTGATTAAACAGAAAACACAACTGTGTGACTTCAAACGGGATAAAAACATGAATACCAAACCTGGAACTTCAAAGGTAAATGCTTTTGAGAATTCATTTTGTAAATTCATTTCTTTATATTTACACATTACAAGAAGCAGAGACCATTTTTATAAGGGCAATATATATAAAAAGGAACAGTTCAGATATTTAACATGCTGAATAAAACATTTGATTGTATTTCATGCATCATAATTATGTTAAATAGCTGTGTTATCACGTTTACCTGCAAGGTATTACCACAGACTTATCATAATTTTATATTATATAAGTCTGTGGTTTACCTAGATAATAGATTTACAATAACTGATACACTAAGGAAAGTAGTATTTGGAATATCAACATGATGACACTCCAAGTTGGTGCGCAAATTCGTGTCACAACGAACTTTCCATATCTGTCATGTTCCACGAATTCCAAGAATTGCAATGAATGTGAAGCTTGCAGCCATTCAGTACTACCACTGATTCATGTTCGATGTTGTTATAAACTCCAAAATATAATGGTGTCCACGTTTGAAAGAATGGGACCTTGGTGCATCACTGTACAAATTTAACTGGGTAGTGAGTGAGTTAAAATTTAACGTCACATCGTCAGTATTTCTGCAATATTGTGACGATAGAAAGTCATACGTTATAATAACAACTATATTTAAACTGTATTAAAACCTGTTGCCGAAAGACAGTACAAATAACTAGATTATCACAGATCAACATTTCGAGTTAATGGTATTATGTCCAAACAGATCATGTCTCTGTATTTGTCTCAATTAGCATGTAGGGTAATTTGCATTTTTATTTCAGAAATGATATAAGAGAGAAATAAAACACCTGTTCACGGGTAAAAGTTTGTCAGGTGCTGACATTGTAGTTATCATCATAAAAAAAGATATCTTGATCCAACCACTACCTGCACTTGTTATTATTACTTTAATCATACGTGTCACATGTGTTTTCTGTATTTACGTTCCTCAGGTCATAGGTCAAAGCCGATATCCAAGACCAAGGGCTGTCATAACGTAAGTAACATTTAACAATGTTTAATGATATTACATGTAAGTAAATTAGAGATGCGAAGTCAGATTTTAATAACATATATTTTCTTTGATATGGAGAATCAATATTTATTACTGACCCTGGAGATATCAGCTATTAAACTAAATGAATATCCACTAATGTTATTTGGCTATCAATGAAATAATTAGACAACCAGTAGATGCTTGCCGTAAAAGGCGACTATGCTTGTCGTAAGAGGCGACTAATGGGATCGGGTGGTCAGACTCGCTGACTTGGTTGATGCTAGTCATCGATCCCAACTCATGATATTAATCACTGGATTGTTTGGTCCAGACTCGATAATACTTAGTCCACACTTAGAATACACTTAGTATACTCGATCACCAATGACATATCTAAATGTACAAATGTTTAGTATCCTTCAAGATGGGGTGGGTGCATGCCCCTCGGTACCACTCCCTCCACATCCTCATCATGGAACAGGGATGGGCTAAGCATTAAATGTGAAACATACTCTCGAGTCTAAACAAAGCTTTTATTAATTGAACATTTAGACAAAAAGTATCAAAAATGGTCAGAAAAAGACCTGTGCTATGGAAATAACGCAAATTTGATATAAAAATTGTATCAAGCTTTTGAAAGGCATTTAGAAGTGATGCACATAAGGATGAGAATTTATGGATGTCAACTTCTTTATTATGCGGCACACAACGTTTCGCAGTATAAACTTATTGTGGTTTTACATCCATCTGTTTCAGGGACCGAGAAATCCGCTACAGGTGTTCCCTGCAGAACACAATCAGCGAGGTATTGCGGGATCGACCAGGGTGGCAGGAGGTTATAGGGTATGTACAAGACATCAACCTTATTGCCTCTAAACTTTTGGTGTAAGAATATGTTGTTTCTCAAGGACTGGTCATTTATTATAAGGGGGGTGGCGGTGAAATTGGTCTTAGGACTGTATTATATTTTTTTTGGCCCACCTCACCCACCCCTCCATTTTTTATGCTCCCCTAAATACTTGTAATAGTTTTCTATGACCCGATCCTCCCTATAATAAATCACTACTACCTAAATAAAGTTCAATTTTATGATGTTTTTTTCTAAAAAAATGGAACCCCCCTCCCCTATTCCCTCACAATCTTTTACCATGTTTACAGACAGTCTATACCAATCCCCCTTCATCTCTAGCGGTCTATACTCATCCCCTCTTCAGGTCCAACAGCCTATACTCATCCCCCCTTCAGCTCTAGCAGCCTATACTCATCCCCCCTTCAGCTCTAGCAGCCTATACTTATCCCCTTGCCAGCTCTATCAGTCTATACTTATCCCCTTGCCAGCTCTATCAGTCTATACTCACCCCCTCTTCAGGTCCATCAGCCTACACTCATCCCCTTTTCAGCTCTATCAGCGTATACTCTTCCCCTCTTCAGCTCCAGCAGTCTATACTCATCCCCTCTTCAGCTCTAGCAGTCTATACTCATCCCCTAGCTCCAGCAGTCTATACTTATCGCCCCTTCAGCTCTAGCAGCATATACTTGTAATATAGAGTACTTGTGCAAAGGAATACTTGTAATATAGAATACTTGTACTAAAGAATACTTGTAATATAGAATACCTGTACTAAAGAATGCTTGTAATATAGAACACTTGTACTAAAGAATACTTATACTAAAGAATACTTGTACTAAAGAATACTTGTACTATTGAATACTTGTACTATAGAATGCTTGTACTAAAGAATACTTGTACTATTGAATACTTGTATAAAGAATACTTGTACTAAAGAATACTTGTAATATAGAATGTTGTACTATAGAATACTTGTATAAAGAATACGTGTATAAAGAATACTTGTAATATAGAATACTTGTAATATAGAATACTTGTACTAAAGAATAATTGTAATATAGAATACTTGTACTAAAGAATACTTGTAATACAGAATACTTGTACCATAGAATGCTTGTACTATTGAATGCTTGTAGTATAGAATGCTTGTACTAAAGAATACTTGTACTATTGAATACTTGCATAAAGAATACTTGTACTAAAGAATACTTGTACTATAGAATGTTGTACTATAGAATACTTGTAATATAGAATACTTGTACTAAAGAATACTTGTAATATAGAATACTTGTACTAAAGAATACTTGTAATACAGAATACTTGTACTATAGAATGCATGTACTATAGATTACTTGCACTATAGAACACTTGTATTACTGAATACTTGTACCATAGAATGCTTGTACTATTGAATGCTTGTACTATAGAATGCTTGTACTATTGAATACTTGTACTATAGAATGCTTGTACTATAGAATACTTGTTCTATTCAATGCTTGTACTATATAATGCTTGTACTATATAATACTCGTACTATATAATACTTGTTCTGTAGGGAAGGTGAGTGGGACTTCTACTGGTGTGACCGTGAGTGGCTACATCAGAACTATGACACCACCTTCCTGCATGAACATCAGAGGATCCTGCACTTCAGGAATCACTATGAGGTGAGACTAGGAACAAGTGAATGTTGTGTTACGCCACAGGCATCTTGGAACAAGTGAATGTTGTGTTATGCCACAGGTATCTAGGAACAAGTGAATGTTGTGTTACGCAACAGGTGTCTAGGAACAAGTGAATGTTGTGTTACGCCACAGGTGTCTAGGAACAAGTGAATGTTGTGTTATACCAGAGGCGTCTAGGAATGATTGAATGTTGTGTTACGCCATAGGCGTCTTGGAACAAGTGAATGTTGTGTTATGCCACTGGCGTTTAGGAACAAGTGAATGTTGTGTTACGCCACAGGTGTCTAGGAATGATTGAATGTTGTGTTACGCCACAGGCGTCTAGGAACCACTGAATGTTGTGTTACGCCATAGGTGTGTAGGAACAAGTGAATGTTGTGTTATACCACAGGCGTCTAGGAATGATTGAATGTTGTGTTACGCCATAGGCGTCTTGGAACAAGTGAATGTTGTGTTATGCCACTGGCGTTTAGGAACAAGTGAATGCTGTGTTACGCCACAGGTGTCTAGGAATGATTGAATGTTGTGTTACGCCACAGGCGTCTAGGAACCACTGAATGTTGTGTTACGCCATAGGTGTGTAGGAACAAGTGAATGTTGTGTTATACCACAGGCGTCTAGGAATGATTGAATGTTGTGTTACGCCACAGGTGTCTAGGAACAATTGAATGTTGTGTTACGCCATAGGCGTCTTGGAACAAGTGAATGTTGTATTATGCCACTGGTGTCTAGGAACAAGTGAATGTTGTGTTACGCCACAGGTGTCTAGGAACAAGTGAATGTTGTGTTACGCCACAGGTATCTAGGAACAAGTGAATGTTGTGTTACGCCACAGGCGTCTATGAACAAGTGAATGTTGTGTTACGCCACACGTGTCTCTTGGAACGATTGAATGTTGTGTTACACCATAGGCGTCTAGAAACAAGTGAATGTTGTGTTACGCCACAGGTGTCTAGGAACAAGTGAATGTTGTGTTACGCCACATGCGTCTAGGAACGATTGAATGTTGTGTTACGCCACAGGTGTCTAGGAACATTGAATGTTGTGTTACGCCACTGGTGTCTAGGAACGATTGAATGTTGTGTTACAGCACAGGCGTCTAGAAACAAGTGAATGTTGTGTTACGCCACAGGTGTCTAGGAACAAGTGAATGTTGTGTTACGCCACATGCGTCTAGGAACGATTGAATGTTGTGTTACGCTACAGGTGTCTAGGAACATTGAATGTTGTGTTACGCCACTGGTGTCTAGGAACGATTGAATGTTGTGTTACAGCACAGGCGTCTAGAAACAAGTGAATGTTGTGTTACGCCACAGGCGTCTCGGAACAAGTGAATGTTGTGTTACGCCACAGGTGTCTAGGAGCATTGAATGTTGTGTTACACCACTGGTGTCTAGGAACAAGTAAATGTTGTGTTACACCACTGGTGTCTAGGAACAAGTGAATGTTGTGTTACACCACTGGTGTCTAGGAACAAGTGAATGTTGTGTTACGCCACTGGCGTCTAGGAACGATTGAATGTTGTGTTACAGCACAGGCGTCTAGAAACAAGTGAATGTTGTGTTACGCCACAGGCGTCTAGGAACAAGTGAATGTTGTGTTACGCCACAGGTGTCTAGGAACAAGTGAATGTTGTGTTACACCACTGGTGTCTAGGAACAAGTGAATGTTGTGTTACGCCACAGGTGTCTAGGAACAAGTGAATGTTGTGTTACGCCACAGGTGTCTAGGAACAAGTGAATGTTGTGTTACACCACTGGTGTCTAGGAACAAGTGAATGTTGTGTTACACCACTGGTGTCTAGGAACAAGTGAATGTTGTGTTACGCCACTGGTGTCTAGGAACGATTGAATGTTGTGTTACAGCACAGGCGTCTAGAAACAAGTGAATGTTGTGTTACGCCACAGGCGTCTAGGAACGATTGAATGTTGTGTTACGCCACAGGTGTCTAGGAACATTGAATGTTGTGTTACACCACTGGTGTCTAGGAACGATTGAATGTTGTGTTACACCACTGGTGTCTAGGAACAAGTAAATGTTGTGTTACACCACTGGTGTCTAGGAACAAGTGAATGTTGTATTATGCCACTGGTGTCTAGGATCAAGTGAATGTTGTGTTACGCCACAGGTGTCTAGGAACGATTGAATGTTGTGTTACGCTACTGGTTTCTAGGAACAATTGAATGTTGTGTTACACCACAGGCGTCTAGGAACAAGTGAATGTTGTGTTACACCACTGGTGTCTAGGAACAAGTGAATGTTGTGTTACGCCACTGGTTTCTAGGAACGATTGAATGTTGTGTTACACCACAGGAATCTGGAGGTAGATTTAATCATGATTACAGATGACACAAGAACTCATATGATGTCAACAGTCATCTGTTATCTTCTCAAGGCCACAATGAATCATTTAGTAGATTTTCATCCACTTTGAAAAAAAATGTGAATCTTTCACTTTTCAACAAAGTGTAGAGAAACTATCGACTTCTTGGGGACAATGAAATGAGGGCGGGGGGAGGTGTGGGTGTGTTTTTTTTCCCTGTTTACCAGCAATGAGATTTAGGCAACGTTAGTTTGTTTGCATCAGAATTATTTCAGCCATATAGAGACCCATGGTTATGAAGGAGTGACACAAAGTTTATCATGTTGTCAGTGTTCATAGGAGATTTTTCCCTTAATAAATCTCTCAAATATAGGCTATAAATTAAAACCAAATGACAATGGGAATTCAAATTCAGGAAGCAAAGTAAACATATTTTCAGTGAAAGACATCTATCTGTAACCATTATCCAACATGTGAAACAATAACAAATCAGAAGACACAATGCCATGGGGTCAGGGACTGCAGTGGTTCATTGTTTTGTGAACTAATTTGCTTGTCCTGTTTGTTAGCTTACGAGAAAGAATTTGATGGTGAAGAATTTGAAGAGGCTTCGCAAACTAGTGGAAAGAGAACATGGCAAGCTAGAGGCTCAGAGGTAAGTAGTCGGGGAATTGTGTTGTTAGCATGATGATGATGATGATGATGATGATGATGGTGATGATAATGGTGGTGGTGGTGTTGATGATGATGGTGGTGGTGGTGTTGGAGGTGATCAAGATAATGATGATGGTGATGATGGCCCAGTTGTCTTAGGCGCCACAATTCGCTGTACAGAGTTGCATCCCTTGTACGCGCTAGAAACCTATGATTGTGGGTTTGAATCCCGGTTTACCCCGATCTTGTTTCAAGGTTTGTCAGCTGCATCTGGATCACCTGAATCACTTCGGGCTTTCCTCCCACATCAAGCTGACATGCCGTGATATAACTGAAATACTGTTAAAAGTGGCGTTAAACCCAACTCACTCTTGTTGAACTGATTTCTTCTTTTTCAAACTTCAAGCATCAAAGGCTTGGTCTATGGTTTTGTGAAATTATGTCTTCTTAGAATGGTTGAGGGATTTGAAGGCTCCCAACAACATTGGCTTGTTTATTTCTCAGGGTTTTACCTTGGCCTACAAAACTAGGGGTCCAGTGGACACCCAAATACTAATTTCAAGGGTCCATACAGGAAATATGAGGGTCCTTTAAATTAATGAAATGCTGTCGTTAACTGAATTATAAGATTTAATAAATACTTTAATTACAGGAAGTTTACTTTTCTTGTCAAGAATTTGGTACAATGAACATTATAGTGCATTCCTCAGGATGCAAATATATTTTTTTCTGCATCCATTATATACATTTGTGCATACTGGACGCACATTTCTGCGTCGTGTAAAACCCTGATCACTTAACAATCAGTTTGGGCAAGTAGGGTCATTGAAGGAACTATCAGAATCTACATTTCCCCATAACATTAGAACAAGGTAGATTTAAAAGTATTACCCTTAGGTAATTCCGTTTTCATTTTTTCTTCAATTTTTGTTTTCAGCTTTGACTTCTACCCAACAACATATGAGTTGCCAGTAAGTATTGTCAATCACTGTAAGTTCGGACGCGGGGCTGAGTGGGCAAGCGAACAAAAGCGCAACAGAGTTGTCACTACCCCTAGTGTACAGTACAAACACCCTGTGCACTCAAAACAACCAACTTGTCTGATGGTAGATGGTGGGAACACAAATGCGTACATACCCCCAGAACACAAGTACAGTGTATTAAAATGTGTGGTTTCACCCTGGGCAAGTGCCTCAGATTAAATGTGACTCTGTTCACCCAAGGGGGGGCACGGGTGGCCCAGTCGTCTAAGGCGCCGCGATTCGCTGTGCAGAGTTGCGTCCCTTGGACACGCCAGAAACCTATGATTGTGGGTTCGAATCCCAGTTTGCCCCGATTAAGTTTCTAGGTTTGTCAGCACCATACCCGTGCTCGTGGGTTTCACCGAAGTGGTAAAAGTCGGAGACCTGCATCACTTGGGGCTTTCCTCCCACATTAAGCTGACACGCCGTGATATAACTGGAATATTGTTGAAAGTGGCATTAAACCCAACTCACTCACTCACTCATTCGTTCTGGATGACCTCATTTTGATGTTTATGACACCAAGTTTATAACATAGGTTTATCTCATCAGTAACAACAATCATTAGGGCACAGTGAGGTGGTGAGGTGGGTGGAGATGTAAACATCCCATTGATGTACATGATGAATCTTCATGAATCCCTGTGTTCCTTGTTGTCTTCTTCAGTCGGAGTACCACATCTTCGTGGAGGAGTTCAAGAAGAGCCCTGGGGTGGTGTGGATCATGAAACCAGCTGCCAAGTCCCAGGGGAAAGGCATCTTCCTGTTCCGTAGACTTAAGGACATCATGGACTGGAGAAAGGTAGACAAGCAATGTCTGATGGGGGCACGGTTGGTCCAGTAGGCTAAGGTGCATGTTCTTGGTCTATGAGTCATTGGTTTGAATCCCAGATGTGTTCTGATTATGATCCTTGGTTTGTCAGCAGCATGCAGTGAGTGCATTACTTCAGGATCCCCCCACCCCCAACACACACACACACACACACACACACACACACACACACACACACACACACACACACACACACTTCCATCTTCCTGAGGCAAGGGTGTTAACTATGTTAACTACAAAAGTCCAGTTTCCACCACTCTGGAATTTCGTGGCTCGATCATAGCACCATCATTCTATGTCCCTCCTACTGACCAATCAGAATCCACCAATCATATCACTTGCATTTGCTTAAAACAAAATGGCTGTGCCCAGTCCATCGATCTGAACGAAAATCAAGATCTATGATAAAACATGTCTTACCTCGGGAAGTGCATCAAATCACATGAGCACCTTGATAAAAACATGAAAGATTTAGAAAATATCTGTCAACGCCCAGGTACACATGCTTTGCAAATCCTGCAATCGATGGAAATCTGCACATTGAAATCTATGTTGATGTCTAGTTCGTTGCGCGATTTTGATTGGACTATGCATAGACTCGAGTCCAACCAAAATGTAACTCTGGAATTTCAGCCTAGTTCGGCAAGGTGGGAAACTGGACTTTTACATTCAGTTAACTCCCTTGCCTCAGGAAGATGCCCCACATCAAGCTGACACGCCATGATATAACTGTACTGTTCTTACAGCAGGTAACCAAACTCAATCACTCACCAATATTGACATTTTACGTTTTTCAACCTCTGGTAAAAAAATTGTGTGTACAGGACAACCAAGATTATTCAGAAAAAACCTGCATCACTTCGGGCTTTCCTCTCACATGATGCAACTTTTCATTGTACTTTGTAGGGGCAGTACCAGCCAGTGTCCGACCCCAACGTACGAGAGGGCCCTGAACTGTATGTTGTACAGCGGTATATTGAGGACCCCTATCTGATTGGTGGACGCAAGTTTGACATCCGAGTCTATGTTCTAGTTTTATCTGTAAGTAAATAGAATCTACATACTTTGTGCTGTCAAGAAAGCCTTTTTGTCCAATTCGATTGAGTTCAGTGTTGTTGTTTTTTTATTCTCTGTTTAAGCAAACAAACTAATCGGAACAGCAGATCTTATGTCTGTATCTAGAAAATGAACTTAAATGGGCAGTTCCGAATGGAGAATAATTAAAGCAGCACTATGTCATGGATATATTTTAACCTGTCATTTCTGAGCACCATCGCATCAACTCCCATATGGAATACTTTTTGAGGAACATTTGTGTTTTGTTCTGTCCTGATCAAGATTTTCACATCGAGGACAGAGGCAGGCAAAGTTCACTTTGAGTTCACCTTCTATCGAGGATTTGTCAGATATTGATGGAGAGAGGTATCAAATCAAAGTGCTGTTATTACCCTGGTCAATGGATTGTATTGGAACAAAGTTTCTTTCCCAGCCCTGCTTTTCATGTTTGCTTTTGTTGTTTGTTTCAAGTCTGTCTTTGTGTTTCAGTACAACCCCTTGAAGGTGTGGCTGTACCGAGATGGGTTTGCCCGTTTCTCCAACACCAGGTTCTCGCTAGACTCCATTGAAGATGCATGTATCCTTCTAAAGTTCTTAGGTTTAAATCTTCAGCGGCTTATTCCTTAAAGGGCAGGTCAGATTAGATGTTCATCACAAGCTTGTCGTAAGATGCGTTTCAATGGATAGGGTGGTCAGATTTAGTGACCTGAGTGATTGTGTGTCCTCATACTCTGATGTTGTGTGCAATATCAAACACAGGGTTTTACTTGATGTGTAATTCCTCGTATTTGACACAATAATTACCTGAAATATTCAAAAGAGGTTTTCATTATGAGTTGTAACTGACACAATAATTTTTGCAAAGGAAATCTAAATTGAGACTGAGTATTTACAATATTTATTTACACATACTGACCGATTATCCGCTAGTTTACAAATCTAAAAAAAACTTTCAGAATAAAATGAGACTGAAATAACTTTCATAAAATAGAGACTTGGAATTTCCACAATCTATTTATAGATCAGTGTCACAATGTGTAACTGGCTTGACAACACACCAGCCAATCAGCTGTGAGTATTTCTGTCCAGTGCAGTCACTATGACTGCACGGCAGGCATATTTAACTGATTCTGGTCATTAGGATGCTGAGTTTTAATGTACATTATCAACATGTACAGTGTTGTTCTGGTATTGCCCACAATGACCTTGACCTATCCAGATGTTCATCTGACCAACGTAGCGGTGCAGAAGACAGCACCAGATTATGATCCAGAGAGAGGCTGCAAATGGTCCACGCGACAACTTCGGAAATACCTTTCTGCAAAGCATGGTGTTGAAGATGTAAGCATCAACTACTCAAGTCACAAAGTGGACAAAATCATTCGGGAGCACTCATGTGGACAGTAACATGTTTGTTTGTTTGTTGTTTAACGCCACACTCAGCAATATTCCAGCTATATGATGGCAGTCTGTAAATAATCAAGTCTGGACCAGACAATCCAGTGTCATCATGAGCATCGATCACAATTGGGATACAATGACATGCATTAGCCAAGTCAACGAGCCTGACCAACCGATCCTGTTAGTCGCCTCTTATGACAAGCATAGTCGCCTTTTACGGCAAGCATGGGTTGCTTAAAGGGTCACAGTAACATGTGATAGGTCCGGAAGCACTCCTCATGCCTTCAGGATCCACACAGCCTCGTCTTACCAGAAGACGTTGAATGATGGTACTTGTTGTTACCCTGTCTGGTGTTCGGTATTAAGGGGCTAAAACAAGCAGCGGTTGGCTCGGAGTCAGTTTACTTTGTCTGAATGGGGTATTCATGTAAAACTGTGGCATGGTATCTCAGTGAGCTAGCACTTTAAATTGGCTTCAGTCCAGACTAGTACAAGCAGCCACACAAACACACACACATACATGCATGTCACTATATAAGTGCAGTAATCTTGGATGCGATGTTAAACCCCATCTCACCTCACCTCACCCCACCTCACCTCACCTCACCTCCAGGATCCACAAGTGGAGCTTCTGTTCTACTGCTGAAGGCAGCTCAGATGACCCTGAGTATGAGGCACTACAGTTGTACTCAGTTGTGTCCCTTAGGAATGCCAGGATCTGTTGGTCATGGTTCAAATCCCTGATTGGTCACATCTATGATACTTTGTCATGTGACATTATATATGCCTTAATTTTACTTCTCTTTTCTTTTTTTTAATTTAACATGATCTGGATATTTCTAATTCTCTGTACAGGTGAAGAATCTGTTCAAGAACATTGACACCATGATCATCAAATGTCTACAGAGTGTTCAGAAGATCATGATCAATGACAAACACTGCTTTGAGATGTACGGTTACGATGTGCTCTTGGACTCTCAACTGAAGCCGTGAGTACATCAGTGGAGGTCACGGGTCATCAGAACCCCAAGCTTGTTTTAACCAAAAAACGAATTTGGAAGTCAAAATTGACAATGACCGACACTGTTTTGAGGTGTCTGGTCACTATGTGCTGTTGGGTCCCAAACTCAAGGGGTTGGTCGGGTAGCCTAGTGGTTAAAGCGTTCGCTCGTCACGCCGAAAACCCGGGTTCGATTCCCGGCATGGGTACAATGTGTGAAGCCTATTTCTGGTGCCCCCCGCCGTGATATTGTTGGAATATTGTGAAAAGCGGCGTAAAACCAAAACTCACTCACTCACTCCAAATTCAAGCAGTCCGTACTGTCGTCAGATCACCCAGTGGGGCACAATATGCACAGTATGACTCTATTTTATTGCGGTATTGGTAAATCTGGTAATCCAATCCCCCTGTCGACTGTTTACTTATGCAAATCTATATAATATATCATTGCTTAATCGAATACTTGACTTTTTGCTGTATGTCATGGCTACTCATTAGTATACACGTTAACTTTTTTATGATAGTTTCTGGAATATTTTTTAAGTGGAATTACCCCTACCTCCATTTGAAATTGGTTAGACAAGAATCCATCTGTTTAGATGAAATCCCTAGACCCAACCTAGGTCGTATGCATAATTTATAACAATAATGGCTTTAGTCCCGGCAACTTCCAAACTTTTGGGAAGTTGTGATCTATCGGACCGTCATTCAGGCGATGTTTCTGACCGATCACGATCTGAAAAATACTGTCATGAAAGTGTATCCTGTGGATAAGCTGACCCCTTTCTACAGAATCTTTTTTCTTGTCCTCAAAATTCGGCTTATCTGCAGACATATATGGTACTGATTACGCATAATCCAAGACAGGAAGTGATGTAAAGCACACCACAACAAAATAGCCTGAGTTGCCTGCCCTTGAGTTGCTTATGACTGGTACTTTGTTTACCAAACTCGGTAAAGAAAATCAGCATCGATCAATCCTAATTGATGTGTCATAAAAGTTGAATAAAGAACAAGAAACATTTTGCGTAAAACATATTTAATAGGTTAGTAAGCGTGCACCATTACAATCCATTATTAATCAACTACCGCAATAACATAGTGTACCATCTTACTCAGAACAACAAACGTGTTATAACAGCTGACTAAATTTAGGATTTGGTGGTCAAAATGTAGTGATTGTGTGTCATCAATGGTGTGGGTCATTGTTCATGCTATCACCTACTGGTTTGCTTGGCCCCATCCTCTCTAATCCAGGGTATAATATCTCTGTTCTGTAAGGATAAACACCCTGGCCTCATTTGACATCATGGCTTTTTGTTATGAAGTGACGTCTCCATCACCATCCCTTATCATAAACGTAGACAGGATGTTTCTCGTTCATGATTGTTATCTGATTGGACAGCTACTATTAGTGCCATGTCTTCCGAATAGGGTTCAGCACGGAGTTATGGTAGCGATTGGATCCTCATCATAGAATGGAGATGTAATACAGTGAGTGAGTGAGAATGGTTTTACGCCGCTTTTAGCAATATTCCAGCAATATCACGGCGGGGGACACCAGAAATGGGCTTCACACATTGTACCCATGTCGGGAATCGAACCCGGGTCTTCGGCGGGAAGAGCGAACACTTTAACCACTAGGCTACCCGACCACCCCTGTAATACAGTGGATAGTGGAGGATGTGGAGATTATTTGCCATGTTTACAGACCAGTTGGTTGTAGCTGGGATATTTCAAATTGCAGCATTAAAGAACATTCACTCACCAACTGTAATCAGTTCAACACAAGTACTGTTGAAATATTGATTTTGTATGGACATTTTTAAATTACATATTTGAAGATTAACAAATTACTGAGAAAAATATTTTGCTGTATTCTGGGTCCAAGAACCATTTTGTTACCTGGCAAATGAAATATAATTCTTTTTCAGTTATGGGTTCCAAACAAACTTAATTATTTGGGCGTGCTGAGAAAAAGTGAAAAATCCTTGCATTTAATGATTGGTTTCTAAATCTATGATATGCTGAATGAAAAGTGAGTGAGTGAGTATGGTTTTAGGCTGCTTTTAGCAATATTCCAGCAATATTACGGCGGGGGACACCAGAAATGGGCTTCACACATTGTACCCATGTCGGGAATCGAACCCGGGTCTTCGGCGTGAATAGAGCGAACGCTTTAACCACTAGGCTACCCGACCGCCCCCTGAATGAAAAGAGTTAGTATTTAGCCTGAAGATAAAAAGCAATGAATTTGATTTAACTTCAGTCTAACAATTGGTCAGGTTATCCCATCGCAACTCTTTTCTCAAGGGAATCGCCATTGTGGACGTGGCTCATTTGGTCCACAATTAATTGCTGACAACATCTCTGAAAAAGGACCAAAAGGTTCAACTAGAAATTTACGGTTTTGAACTTGTTTAATGAAGACTAAGTGTTCGTTATTCACATGGCTTCACTGCCTGGCTGCAATACTTCTCCTTTGCCTGATTGCAGATACCCAGACGATTGAACATCGATGTCAGTAGCTTCATGAATATTAAAGTTTTTCAGGACATTTCCTCTGATCTTATTGTTTCTTGCCACTAAATCTTATAATTGACCCTCTCCTTGGCCAAGTAATCACTTAGTACATTTCCTTTGAACTAGCTGGCTCATCGAGATCAATGCATCACCATCGCTGACAGCAAGTGGGAAAGACGATTACGACCTGAAGTATGGCCTTCTCACAGATCTCCTAAATGTGCTGGATCTCGAGAACAGGTGACAATCAGTGTGTTTTATACTTCTGTATGTCTGTGGTGCTCTGTTGGCTGGTTGTAGGTCATGGTCCTCCTTGTATACGATAAAACACGCTTCCGAGGTTTTACTTGAAAATGTAAAACTGTGAGCATGGGAAAACACACAAGGCATGTTTTATCCAACTTATGAACCGATTCAATGCAAGAAATACAAGAAAAAATACGAAAACATCGACATGCCTTATAGTGAAACAAATCAGTATATCGCAGTATAAAAGGAATTCACGCAAAGCGTGCAGGAAGCAGTCATGACATGACAAACAGAACAACTTCTCATCACCTGCCCCAGTAGCTCAGTGGGAAAACAGTGGGTTACAAAACTTAACATGATATGTGAGGTTGCAGGTCATGGAATTTTCATGTCAATAAAAAGTTTTGACTTTTAACCAATCATCAAACACAATTGTGTTTACATCAAGAGGCAAGTTTGAAGCCCATTTGAAGCCCATTTGTGGTGCCCCCAGTCGTGATATTGCAGGAATTGCAGGAATATTGCTAAAAGTGGCATAAAAGCATAGTCACTCACTCACTCATTCATGACTGTTAATCTGTCATGGCGGGTGTTCCTTAACTTCATTTGTGTGGTATATATGTATATGTCAATTCAACATTTGATGATTACCCTAAGACAACATATCAGTTTGACAGAAGTCATTAATTATAACTTAACACCATGACAGAATTGGGCACTAGCTCACTGAACATTGTCACTAGGTGGGATCAAGTGACGCTCTTTTAGGTGGGATCATGCAACACTCTTTGAGGTGGCATCAAGTGACGCTCTTTTAGGTGGGATCATGCAACACTCTTTTAGGTGGCATCAAGCGACACTCTTTGAGGTGGCATCAAGTGACACTCTTTTAGGTGGCATCAAGCGACACTCTTTTAGGTGGCATCAAGTGACGCTCTTTTCGGTGGCATCAAGTGACGCTCTTTTCGGTGGCATCAAGCAACACTCTTTTAGGTGGCATCAAGTGACGCTCTTTTAGGTGGCATCAAGCAACACTTTTTTAGGTGGCATCATGCAACACTCTTTTAGGTGGCATCAAGTGACTCTCTTTTAGGTGGCATCAAGCAACACTCTTTTAGGTGGCATCATGCAACACTCTTTTAGGTGGGATCATGCAACTCTCTTTTAGGAAGCATCAAGCAACACTCTTTTAGGTGGCATCAAGCAACACTCTTTTAGGTGGCATCAAGCAACTCTCTTTAAGGAAGCATCAAGCAACACTCTTTTAGGTGGCATCAAGCAACACGCTCTTAGGTGGCATCAAGCAACTCTCTTTAAGGAAGCATCAAGCAACACTCTTTTAGGTGGCATCAAGCAACTCTCTTTTAGGTGGCATCATGCGACACTCTTTTAGGTGGCATCAAGCAACACTCTTTTAGGAAGCATCAAGCAACACTCTTTTAGGTGGCATCAAGCAACTCTCTTTTAGGTGGCATCAAGCAACACTCTTTAAGATGGCATCATGCGACTCTCTTTTAGGTGGCATCAAGCAACTCTCTTTAAGGAAGCATCAAGCAACACTCTTTAAGGTGGCATCAAGCAACTCTCTTTTAGGTGGCATCAAGCAACACTCTTTTAGGTGGCATCAAGCAACTCTCTTTAAGGAAGCATCAAGCAACACTCTTTTAGGTGGCATCAAGCAACACTCTTTTAGGTGGCATCAAGCAACGCTCTTTTAGGTGGCATCATGCAACACTCTTTTTGGAAGCATCATGTGACACTCTTTTAGGTGGCATCAAGTGACTCTGTTTTAGGTGTCATCAAGCGACGCTCTTTTAGGTGTCATCAAGCGAAACTCTTTTAGGTGTCATCAAGCGACACTCTTTTAGGTGTCATCAAGTGACACTCTTTTAGGTTGGATCATGCAACACTTTTTTAGGAAGCATCAAGCAACTCTCTTTTAGGTGTCATCAAACGACACTCTTTTAGGTGGCATCAAGCAACGCTCTTTTAGGTGGCATCATGCGACACTTTTTGTGGAAGCATCAAGCAACTCTCTTTTAGGTGGCATCAAGCGACACTCTTTTAGGTGGCATCAAGCAACACTCTTTTAGGAAGCATCAAGCAACTCTCTTTTAGGTGGCATCAAGCGATGCTCTTTAGGTGGCATCAAGCGACGCTCTTTTAGGTGGCATCAAGCAACACTCTTTTAGGTGGCATCAAGTGACTCTGTTTTAGGTGTCATCAAGCGATGCTCTTTAGGTGGCATCAAGCGACAATCTTTTGGGTGGCATCAAGCGATGCTCTTTTAGGTGTCATTGAGCTGAACTCAATCCAATCATCCTGGAACAAGTTAAGTTGAAAACTTTATATGTCTGCAGTTTAAGACCGTGGGTATTAATAGACTGGTCATATGCCCTCCTGAACCAACTCGTCTTTAACAATATTTCACCAGCCCTTTCAATACCAAGAAACTCTAGCCTACTGCTTTCAAATACTTTTTGAACACATTCTTTGAAATATTGTTTCAGCGATTGCAAGAATAAATCTAAACTGTCAAGTTGTTTAAGGGCTATAATATAATCAGTGGTAAGTGATACATTTTCCTACCAGACAATTAAAAAGGAGCTTTACAGCTTTTGCCTAATTCTAAAGTACCAGTATTTCTAAAAGCCTTGCGCAAATGTGATGTGTGCATTGTCGTTGTGCCTTGGCTGCATATATGAATATTTCTCTAGGGAGACACTCAAAACATTTAACCATGTATACTTTTATGTTGTTGAAAATTAAATGTTATTACCAGCTTGTTTTTTGGTTAAGGCAAATAGAAACATCAAGTTGTGGCAAGTTATGTAGATATGCATTTCCCCAGTGCCCTTTAAACACATGTTAACCCCTTAACTGATAGATTAAGATGTATGGTTGACTTCAGACTGACAGGGAGAGAGAAGCGAATCGGCGGCTGGGATCTGCTGTGGGATGACGGACCCGTTGCAGCAGATGAAGGCAACATGGACTGTAACGGAGGCACCACCATCTACAATGCCAACTCCTTCCTCGGTAACACAAACTACTTCAACTTCTTTACACAATAAATAGCATCAATTCCTTAAAACTTTGTTTCTGTATTCATGGATAGCAATGAGAATATTTGCTTCATTTAGCATCAATTTGTTTAGAAGCAGTTGGCTTTGTTGTCATGCCATAGAAGATACTTCATCTGTGTGATTTGTTTGTGGTCGAGATACATTGTCAATTCACTTCATCTTGTAATTAAGCGGAAAACATTGTGTTTATTAAATCTATATTTACCAATTTCTGTACATCTTCAGGTTGTCAAAATGAGCGCAAGTCCCAACTTAGAGAAACATTCAAGGTGGCCCAGATGGTAAAGAGGCCTCAGTGAGTGCAGACGCCAAAACAACATTCCATAGCAGACGCCAACAAAACACTACAGAACAGATATCAGGCAGATGCCAAGACCACATTACAGAACAGATATCATGCAGATGCCAAGACCGCATTACAGAACAGATATCAGGCAGATGCCAAGACCGCATTACAGAACAGATATCAGGCAGATGCCAAGACCGCATTACAGAACAGATATCAGGCAGATGCCAAGACCACATTACAGAACAGATATCAGGCAAATGCCAAGACCGCATTACAGAACAGATATCAGGCAGATGCCAAGACCGCATTACAGAACAGATATCAGGCAGATGCCAAGACCGCATTACAGAACAGATATCAGGCAGATGCCAAGACCACACTACAGAACAGATATCATGCAGATGCCAAGACCACATTACAGAACAGATATCAGGCAGATGCCAAGACCACATTACAGAGCAGACATCAGGGCAGATGCCAAGAACATGTTACAGAGCAGACATCAGACATCAGAGCACAACACAAAGATGATGACATTGCAGGTTTAAAAAAACATGGTCCATGGAAATGTTTGCAGGTTTTTATGATCTTTGGGTGCCCAAATGTGAAGATTTGTTTGAATGCCTAAACTAGTTTACACAGATCAAGTTAAGTATATTTAACTGTTAATATTTTTTAAACCTATTCCTGAACTTTCAACACTTTGGATTCCTGCCAATGTTTGTTATGGCTATTAAGGCATCCAAATTGTGTGCATTTAAGCTGATACATTGTGTATTGTACTTTATCAGACGTGATGAAGGAGTTGACCTCCGCAGGACAAAGGTGTTTCACAGACAAAGTCATTATTTGGTTAAGGCCGTCAACATTGCTTGTCTACAAAGTCAGTTTTCATAATCAAGTGCAATAGAGGGATAGCAACTCTGATTAAATGTCTAGACAAGGCTGAAGGACACAGCTCACAATCTGTGACTTTCCATCAACAATTATGTCTTACCGAAATTACATGATACGAACAGATCGGCTTGTCTCTTCATACTGCGAACAACACGAAGCATGGCCAAATTTAAGATAAGAAAATATAATCCTCCCTCCCTTTGCGGTCAGTTTTTAAAAAAGCCATGAGAAAGAAGAATTTATTGTTTTTATGGGTTCCTTAACATCAAAATGAGCATGACCTCTCTGATGCCTGTTATTTCTGTGAGAATTAATTTGAGAGGATCCCAAAGGGCCTGACTACTGTGTATATAGACTAGAAGTCTTAAGTTTTGTGCAGTCTCATTAATATCAGATCTTAGTTCTTGCTATTGCTGAACAAAGATCTGGGGACACTTCAGACCGACCTTTCGCCAATTTTGACCAATCAATGGAATGACTGACAAGAAGTCAACATAAGCCAATCAGAAGGCAGCTTTCTCGTGCTTTACAGCACCAGTTTCAATCTGACAACTATGCTTTGAAACATATTTTGACAAATTCTCGATTAAAAAATTGAAAACTGAACAAATTAAAATTCTGGAATGGCTAATAGATGGTCAAGATTGTATGGATTCAGTCATAAAGCCCGTAACTGTCATTCGGAATACCCCATGTTAAATCTTTCAAGGTTGCACGATCAGAAATCACATTCCGACTGTCACTTTCCTCATCTTGGTAAGCGACGCTCTATTGGTTGGATGAAAGGTCGTTCTGACGTGACCCGTAATGGCATGTCCTCAGATCTTTGTTTAGCAGTAGCGAGAACAAAGATCTGATTTTAATGAGATTGGAGTTTTTGAAGACACCGGCAATATCTGGGTTATGTTGACAAGATGTGTTGATGTCCTTGATTGGAGAATATCAGTGTTAATTGCCAGTCCTGTCACATGCAGTCTTGGTTTTGCAATAGGTATACAATGTATTTCACTATCTATAGAACATTGTTTGCTGTGCTATTTTTATGCGATGGGATATATTTTTATGACCAAATAAATTCCTGACACAGGAAATGTAGGTCTTGCCACAGTATATACATGATCTCATTAAGATGATAGAATATTGTTTGAGGGTGCAGTCAGTAATGCCCACCTAAATCACAGTGACCTGTAAATAACTGTCTGGCCAAGGAAACCAGTGGCTGATAGCATGAGCAACAACCCATGCTGTTAGGGCATGATTACTGGGGACCCCAACTGGGGACCTTTTCTGTCCTCCATTCCCCCACCAGGGTCCTATTTTGCCCGCATTCCTCCACCTGGGACCTATTCTGGCTCGTATTCCCCCAGCAGGGACCTATTCTGACCCGCATTCCCCCACTTGGGACCTATTCTGGTCCGCATTCCTTCACTGGGGACCTATTCTGGCCCGCATTCCCCCATTGGGGACCTGCATTCCTCCACTGGGAACCTGCATTCCCCCACTGGGGACCTATTCTGGCCTGCATTCCTCTATTGGGGACCTATTTTGGCCCGCATTCCCCACTGGGGACCTGCATTCCCCAACTGGGGACCTATTCTGTCCTCCATTCCCCCACTGCGGACCTATTCTGGTCCACATTCCTCCACTGGGGACCTATCCTGGTCCACATTCCTCCACTGGGGACCTATTCTGGCCCCCATTCCCCCACTGGGGACCTATTTTGGCCCGCATTCCTCAAGCAGGGACCTATTTGGGCTGCATTCCCCCACTGGGGACCTATTCTAGCCCGCATTCCCCACTGGGGACCTATTCTAGTCCATATTCCCCAAAGGGGATTTCATTGAAGTGTTCTGACATGGTAGGGATTCTGAGTCAGAATAAATCCCAAGTTACTCACCTTTTGAGTTGATGAATGTGAGAATCAGGTGGTCGTTATTTGTAACCTGGTTGATTGGCTGGTATTGTTGCTCAAGTCTGGTTTGCCAAGCCCAGGATAGACTATTTCAAGGTCGCTGTGTTTAACTTTGTTCATCTGACTGTCCCTTAAAACAACATTCAGTCACTGAGGTGGTTTGTTTGCTCACCTGTTGCAATATAACTCATGTCAGACCACTATCACCTCCAGCATAAATATTTTATCTACTTGATTTGTGCAGTATTTCATTCAACTATGCAATACATTTCATATTGAAGTAATGTTATTGTAACTCATGACATCAAGTGTATCTTCCTTGCCAACTAGAACCACAGTGTACCAGTGATATACACATTGTGTTTGTGTGACTGATCATTTCTTGATCTATGTGAGACTTATTTTGCGCTTTGTTTTAAGAAATTAATGCATCCTTATTGCTTCCTGGCCGAGGAGTCTGAAAGTGGTTAATGTGTTTGCTAATCAGTCAGAATTCAATCAGAATACACACATGTATCGAGTGTACAACACGCATAATAGTATCCCCTACAACAGCTACAAAATAGATAGGACCCGTGAAGATTCCGGGGTAGAACAGGTCTTCAGCAACCCATGCTTGCCGTAAAAGGTGACTATGCTTGTTGTAAAAGGCGACTAACGGGATCGGGTGGTCAGGCTCGCTGACTTGGTTGATGCATGTCATCGATCCCAATTGCGTGGATCGATGCTCATGATACTAATCACTGGACTTTCTGGTCCAGACTCGATTATTTACAGACCGCTGTCATATAGCTGGAATATTGCTGAGTGCGGCGTTAAACAACAAACCAACAACAACAAAATAGATAGAAAGGCATTAAAGTTATAAATAGGAACAGCTTGAATACATGACACTTTTTATGGATAGCAACTTCTTTTATACTTTATCACGACGCTTCACAGCTACATTTTGTGAGCAAGAAGATGCTCTGAAACGTCGTGACAAAGAATAAAAGAAGTTTCTACCAATAAAAAGTGTCATGTATTCATGTTCTCCCAACTTCTAAATGTCTATCAAAGACTTCATGATCACACTGAGTTTCATCCAACTATATAAATGTCTTTATTCCACCAAAGTGGTAACGGTCTAATACCAGCATCACTGTTAAATGTGGCGTTAAACCCAACTCACTCACTCACTCACTAATGTCATTGATTTGATAAAACCAACAATAATTTCATGATCTTTATGTGTGCTTATCCCTTATCAGATCTCCCTATGCATAGTAGGGAGATGCATAAGGACAGTTTAGGAGTCCAAACCACATATTTTGTTAACTCCAATGTATCCTAACCTGCGTGGCTGGACACACTCCCTGTGACATTCGTCACCACTCGCCCCTTTCCGTAACCTGCAAGAAGACTCGTCCCCCTATCGATGAATGTTATGTGCGAAAATACGACAAACCAATCAGAATGCGCATATGATTTCGAGTTCTTTGTCAAATAATTCCTCAGAAATAATTTTTGATTTTACATATGTCTTGCACCTAATAATATACCCAAGACACAGTTAAATGTGTTTAATCATACTGTATAATTCCGCACGTCCCGATGTGTTTTAAATTGCATCTGAAATATATATAAAATATGGAGAAATATATGTGAACCATTACACAACGAGTTGACAATTGTTTTAGGTATGCCCGTTTGCGCTAAGACGGAACCCAGTCGCAAAAATGGCCATGAGAGGGGCACGAGTCGCTATTCGGCTTGTCCCGGAATAACACGAGTTGGTCACGAATGTCCCTGTGAACCAGGGCGCCATTGTACAACACAACCTCAGCGCTTACGACTGTCGTAAGTCTATTTTAAGGTATCGGAGTTACGATCACCTTAGTGCTAAGATCGCTTTGTACAGTGGGGCCCTGGTCTCTACAACAGCTGTAGGGTGGATCGCGCAGATCAGTATGTTCGGACTATGTATTGTCCATAACGAACTGGTAACAAGGTATATATTGTGAATGTTTTTAATAAAACCTGTATTTTTTATACTTCGATTGTTCGTAGTTCTTATTCCGGAATAGACTCTTTATGTACATTAATTATGGTTAAACCATGGAGCACTGATTTGAACTGTATTAAGTGGGATATGATTTGTTTTATATGAACTGTGTAACCTCATCATGAATAGGGGCGGTCGGGTAGCCTAGTGGTTAAAGCGTTCGCTCGTCACGCCGAAGACCCGGTTCGATTCCCGACATGGGTACAATGTGTGAAGCCCATTTCTGGTGTCCCCCGCCGTGATATTGCTGGAATATACCCAAAAGCGGCGTAAAACCATACTCACTCACTCACTCATCATGAATAGTTGGAACGTTTTATTCAATAGTTCATTTGCATTATAATGACATTGATTATAGTTTTATTATATGTTTTTGTTTGTTTGTTGTTTAACGCTGCACTCAGCAATATAACAGCTATATGTCGGAGGTCTGTAAATAATCGAGTCTAGACCAGACAGTCCAGTGATTGACATCATGAGCATCGGTCCACGCCTTTTACGGCAAGCATGGCTTGTTTAAGATCAATTCTAATCAGATGTTGTGGAAAGGCGTAGATGTAGAAGCAATGTCACTGCTGCAACACGAGGCATTGATGTTACAAGGATGCAGGGACACACTGACGTGAGTCGTCCAATATATCCTCCGTGGGGATTGGTCCCAAACAAGATATGCTGATATGCTGGTCGGAGAAGGCGACAAAATAGATCAGGTGGTTAGGCTCATGACTTGGTTACATTCGTCACCACTCGCCCCTTTCCGTAACCAGCAAGAAGACTCGTCCCCCTATCGATGAATGTTATGTGCGAAAATACGACAAACCAATCAGAATGCGCGTATGATTTCGAGTTCTTTGTCAAATAATCCCTCAGAAATAATTTTTGATTTTACATATGTCTTGCACCTAAAAATATACCCAAGACACAGTTAAATGTGTTTAATCATACTGTATAATTCCGCACGTCCCGATGTGTTTTAAATTGCATCTGAAATATATATAAAATATGGAGAAATATATGTGAACCATTACGCAACGAGTTGACAATTGTTTTAGGTATGCCCGTTTGCGCTTAGACGGAACCCAGTCGCAAAAATGGCCATGAGGGGGGCACGAGTCGCTATTCGGCTTGTCCCGGAATAACACGAGTTGGTCACGAATGGACTTGGTTGATATGGTACCATCATACTCGGACGGTGTTGATCGTTGTTCACAGGCGACTCTGCTTGTCTTAAGAGGCTAACGGGATCGGGTGGTCAGGCTCGCTGACCTGGTTCATGCATGTCATCGATCCCAATTGTGTGGATCGATGCTCATGATATTAATCACTGGATTGTCTGGTCCAGACTAGATTATTTACAGACCGCCGTGATATAGCTGGAATATTGCGGCGTTAAACAACCAACCAACCAACGTTGCTCACAATATCAATCACTGGACTGTCTGGTCCAGACTTGATTATTTACAGACCATATAGCTGGAATTGTACCGTAGTGCCGCGTTAAACAACAATAAAAAACATTCACCGTGTAGATGTTACAAAGATACAGATGAGTTGTGAGACGTAGATGTTTCAAGGAAGCAAGGCACACTGCCCTGAGTGGAACATGTTTCAATGATCCGTCCTTTTTTTGTGAAAAAGACTCAATATTAATGTTGGCCAAACAAAAACCTCGTTCACAATTCGGGATATCTCCGTGGCATGACAGGGAATCAATGTCTGCATCCTTTTGAATTTTCATTTCCGTGGTTATTAAGGAGCCTGACGAGGAGAAAGGACACACTGGGAATCGCCACAGATCGGACAAGTGATGAAATTAGGTATCGCGAGTATTCGACAGACAATTACTGTCTTCTATACATTCCTCTGTACCGGTAATGAGTGGTAACCGCGAATAAAGCCACTAATTTTGACGACCTTGCAGAGTATTATGGCATGAATAAAGAAAGACAGGTGCTTTGGAAGATTTTTATGATTCTTCAAAGCTTGTTTAAAGTAATATTTTGTTTACAAATTTGTTTTTAAACCCGTCACCAAACCTTTGTGCATGGGCTGTTAGCAGAACATTTATTAATTACACTGAAGCAGTATATGTAAACAGGGATGTGGCTCCTGTCTGATGCACACAAGGGCAGGGGCAGTAGTGTAGTGGTTACAGCGTCGGCTTATTCACATAACATGGGTTCAATTCTCCACATGGGTGTAGTGTGTGAAGCCCACTTCTTGTGACGCCCCCCGCTAACTCTCACTCAACAATCCTTCATTACAATTATCCTCACTCACTCAACAATCATTTATAACAATTTTCGAGTGTATATGTCATGCATTACCCGTTGCAAACGCTTTATTACCATGGTTACAGTGAAATATGTATTTAAGACAGGCGTCTAAATTTTGGCATCGATGGGGCGGAACTTCATCTCCACTTTCCGGAGCGAATACCGGTCTCGTTTCCATGGCCACCACTCCACGCCATTATGGATCTGAGGAAAAGAAAACACAGTTACACAAGCCTGTGACAAGAACGAAATAAACTGTGTCGAAAATATTGAATTTGACAAACCGTTTTATAACAAATACCAGCAGAGTGACATATATAATCGCCAATTTTATTAATCTGAAAATTTATAAGGACCAAGTGACTGTAGTGGACGTTGTGATACACCATGTTACTGCATTGTTTCCACCTTATCCCGATGCCGGGATAGATCCGGGCTAGAATTGGTCTTCAGCAACCCATGCTTGCCGTAAAAGGCGACTATGCTTGTCGTAAGAGGCGACTTACGGGATCGGATGGTCAGGCTCGCTGACATGTCATCGTATCCCAATTGCGTAGATCGATGCTCATGATATCAATCACTGGGTTGTCTGATCCCGACTCGATTATTTACAGACCGACTTCATAAAGATGGAATACTGCTGAGTATGGTGTTAAACAACAAACAAACAAACAAACAAAAACAGGCCTGTTCATCATGGAACCACGTCTGGACCAACCAGTGGTCGATGGAATCATGCTCTTGGTATAACGGTGAAACAAGAAGGACTGGGCGACCCCCAGCTAGTACAGTGTGTCTGAGCTAGTTATCCATCTTTAATCACACAGACAGTGACCGCCTTCATGGTATATTGGCGAAAATACCAAAAGACGTTAAAAGATGGTACTTGTTACCATTCCTGGCGCATGGCATTATTGGATAAAACAACACTGGTCGGCTTGGAGTCAGTATGACGTGTCTCAAGGGGTTTCCAGGTTAGGTTGCAGTATGGTGTCTCAATGTTCTAGCACTATTAAACCGACATTCCGGCTAGTACAAGCAGCCACACACTCGTGCTTGCATGTCGCTATATAAGGGAAATAATCTTGAGCGCGACGTTATACCACATGCCTCCTCACCTCCAAGGAAAGGCATGGGTGCTGAGGATATTTCTGTGCCGGGTTCCCCATGGGGTTGTTATAATTTAAAACACACTAGATCAGGATCTATTTGCAATCCACGCAAGTTTTAGTCAAGTCGTTAAGCCACTTTTTTAAATTATGTGATTAGTCAAAGATTACCCTCTATACAAAGACAACGTCTCAGTTTCACATTAGGCTCGCATTGCAGCATATGGACATACAGATGTATACTGAACATGGCGATCTACAACATGGCGGCAAGTAGACACAGCACACACATGGCGATCTACAACACAACAGGAAGTAGACACAGCACACACATGGCGATCTACATCATAACAGGAAGTAGACACAGCACACACATGGCGATCTACAACATAACACTAAGTAGACACAGCACACACATGGCGATCTACAACATAACACTAAGTAGACACAGCACACATATGGTGATCTACAACATAACAGGAAGTAGACACAGCACACACATGGCGATCTACAACACAACAGGACGTAGACAGCACACACATGGCGATCTACAACACAACAGCAAGTTGACACAACACACACATGGCGATCTACAGCACAACAGCAAGTAGACAACACACACATGGCGATCTGCAACACAACAGCAAGTAGACACAGCACACACATGGCCACCTACAACATGACGGGGACCTCCTACAGTTGTCCACCAGACAGCTATGTGCGACAGTCACGACAAGCAGTCAACGCCTTTGGATACTAACTGACATTAATTGCTAGGACATTGTCTCCGGTGAGATTCTCCATCTCAGCAATGCAGCTGATGAACATTATTTAATAATAAAGCTGACGCCGTGTCTGTCGCAAGTCTATCCGTGATCTATATAACTGTTGAGGCACAGTTCAGGCAGAAGTTCAAGATGTATCCAAGGATACTCAGATGCATTAAGACGACGACGTCATTTGGCTTAACGTCGCTTTGAACATATTTTACTTACAAAACGGTTTTAGATTAACATATTTCATATATAGCCACCGAGTTTTAATCTTTTATCCACTCGTGTTGATATATTAAAGAAATAAACGACGAGTTGTTTATCGTACAATAAAACACTGCAGGGAGAATAAACCATGAGGGGAACAGCCCCGAGTGGTTTATCCCTAAAGTGCTTTATGTACGATAAACAACAACCACGAGTCCTTTATTTCTCATTTGAGATAAGTTTATTTTGTAAGCCTTTTGCGGATGTTGATAGAATGTACGAGCTTTAAAGATATTACGCACACTAACATAATCACGAATAGATTCCAACATCGGAAATGTCGGAAAAGTCGGTGGCTGGTAAATTTGGTCTTTCACGCATATTCTCACAATGTGCACTGTTCTTTTTCTCCCAATACCGATTGTCATATCTCGCCACTTTCGGATGCGGCCATTGCGTTTATTTACGTTGCCCAGCTGCATCTGCGGGGACAACTCCCTCTCAAAAATGATTTACGACGTCATCAAATTGCGACCCCGAGGGTGAAATCTTATTTATCATCCAAAGTCATTCTTCCAAACCTTTCACTTTGGAAACATTATTAAGCATTATAGCTAAAATGGATAGAATTATCATAAAAACGCCCGCATGTTATCAGAAATGAGCGGGCCACTGTAACTTGATAATGCCCTCATATACCTTGACGACGGGCCATTATCACGCCTGTTGTTAGGTGACGTCATAGGATAGGGATAGGTGACGTAACGTTCAATAGTGACGTCATCTGGTTTGTTCTATGACGTTTCCATATTTGTAAAAGTGGGTCAGTGACATTCGTGTTGATTGCAGTAAATGTTTCAAAATCGACATTGTTGTTTCTTTTTATTTAATAACAAATTCCATCCATTTTAGCTATAATAACGGTAACGCTATTTTTCAGGGCATTATCATTTGCAGAAGCCCTCGGTCTTTTCAACTGCCCTCCTTCGTCGGGCAGTTAATGGAAGTCCTCGGGCTTCTGCAAATGATAATGCCCTGAAAAATAGCGTTACCCTTATAGTAATATGAGTGTAAAAAGTACAAACAACATGGACCCGTGGAAGAGTGATTAGTGTTGCTATTTGATTGTGACGTCATGGTAACGATGACGTCGCAATCGTCTGCTTCATTGTAGCGATATCTCTTGTGGAAGCCAGTTTGGGGTGATAAATACATTTATTACTTTTTTCACAGCCGTATTACACATTGTATAATACCGAAGCGCGTGCTTATGTACTGTGGGAACAAGTTTCAATGTCATTGAAGAAGCCTCGCGATTTTGAGAGTTTTCAATTATTTGTAAGTGAAACTAAGACAGGCAGTAAATACGCATGCGATATGGTATTATAACTGTGTAATAACTGCTCATTGCTTTTAAATAGTAGTATCTTCAACGGACGAGTAATAGGTGAGGTGAGGTGAAATGGGGTTTAACGTCGCGTCCAAGATTATTGCACTTATATAGCGACGTGCATGTACGTGTGTGTGTTTGTGTGGCTGCTTATACTAGTCCGGACTGATGCCGATTCATAGTGCTAGCTCACTGAGATACCATGCCGCAGTTTAACATGAATACCCCACTCAGACACAGTATACTGACTCCGAGCCGACCAGTCCTTGTTTTAGCCCCTTAAAGCCGAGCGCCAGACAGGGTAACAACAAGTACCATCTTTTCGCGTCTTTTGGTATGACGCGGTCGGGGATCGAACCCCGGACCTTCCGCTCTCCAGGCGGATGCTCGACCACTAGACCACGGAGGCGGTCGGGCGAGTAATAAACATAGGTGTGTGTATATGTGTGAGTGCGTGCGTGCATGCATGCGTGCATGCGTATGAGATGTGGTGGCGAATATTCACGGGTATTATGCGTATAAACCAAAGCTCTAAAACGGGGCGAAATTGATTTGAACACCCTACCAGCGGATCCACAACGACCCCAACTTCATCCTGGGGGACCCGTGAAGATCCGGGGTAGAATAGGTCTTCAGCAACCCATGCTTGCCGTAAAAGGCGACTAACGGATCGGGTGGTCAGGCTCGCTGACTTGGTTGATGCATGTCATCGTATCCCAATTGCGTGGATCGATGTTCATGATGTCAATCACTGGACTGTCTGTTCCAGACTCGATTATTTACAGACCGCCGTCACATAGCTGGAATATTGCTAAGTGCGGCGTAAAACAACAAACCAACCAAATCATCCTGGGGAGTACAGAGTGAAAGGGGACACTATCATAGGTCAAGGTCAGATGTACTAGTATAGACGGCATTGATAACCCGAACTACATAGAGACAATGGATCCTTCACAACATTGACTGGACCTTCGTGACCGACTGTGGATCCTTGACCCTAGTAAGTGTGAGTGAGAATCGAGCCCGGGTCTTCGGCGTGACGAGCGAACGCTTTAACCACTAGGCTACCCGACCGCCCCGTGTCCCTAGTACAGGTGAGTGAGTGAGTGAGATTGGTTTTACGCCGCTTTTAGCAATATTCCAGCAATATCACGGCGGGGGACACCAGAAATGGGCTTCACACATTGTACCCATGTCGGGAATCAAACCCGGGTCTTCGGCGTGACGAGCGAACGCTTTAACCACTAGGCTACCCGACCGCCCCCCTAGTAAAGGTGAGATTAGCCGACTCGCAGGACTGTATATAACTATGGAAGGGCACCACTACTTACAGGGGCGGTGTAGAATCCTTGGTTGTAGTATTTGCCGGTAGGGTTGGCAGCCCAGCACTGGTTGTACCAGAAGCCGCTGCCGTACATGAGGCCGCAGTTCTTGCTGTGGTTGTCGTTGTCGCGGTCCCAGGTTGAGAAGGGGATGTTGTTCTGGGCGAATCTGGTCCTGAAGACAAGACGGACAAGACAACAGATAACTACGATGTGTGAAGGGTTGGATGAACCTGTAGTGTAAGATTGAATCCTAAATGATAGTTTTCAATCATGGTTTTAGTTTTCACACCGTACCCGTAACCACACGAACAACCACGCACGCGCGTTCCGCATTTTTTCGTAACCCGTCCCGATAACGAGCGGTTAAGAAATTTAACAATAAAAGCATTAAATCATAATTCGACCTGCCATTTTAAAAAAAAATCCATTAGTGCCCTAGTTGTGACTGATGCAATTCCCTATTTTGTACCATATGTTCCCGTATAATTTCAGGTAAACAATTGACTTGCCTCTGCATGTGTTTGTGACGGTGTTAATGTGTGGCTCACCTTTTCGCGAACACCTAGTATCATCACTCTGTCATACTGATTCATAAACAGCTGCTTACGATACATTCATAATTTAGTTATGATTCTGAAAAGTGTGTGAATGAGTGAATTGGGTTTAACGCCGTTTTTAACAGTATTCCAGTTATATCACGGCGTGTCAGCTAATGTGGGAAGAAAGACCGAAGTGATGTTTACCACTTCGGTGAAACCCACGAGCACGGGTATGGTGCTGACAAACCTAGAAACATAATCGAGGCGAACCGGGATTCAAACCTACAATCATAGGATTCTGGCGTGCCCAAGGGACGCAACTCTCCAAAGCGAATCGGCCTGGGCCACCCGTGCCCCCGATTCTGAAAAGAGTTTTGTCCTTTCATTTATTGAGAACCTACCGACTGCAGAGGAAGTACGTTCTACTCACGATGGGAAGTTGAAAGGGTCACCCGCATCACCAGTGTAATTTCCGAGATGGATTGTGTAGGAGCTCGTTTCGTTGGACAGAGAGAAGGCGTTGTAGGACGCGTAGGCGCTGTTGCCGTCCCAGTCGTACAAGTCCACTCGCATCTCCATCTGCTCCTGCTGCAGGAAGGCCTCGAGAAGCTCGTTGCCCCACCAGTAATCAGATGATAGGATACCGAACCCGAGCCTGTACTCGTTCCACGTCCGGTTGAAGTCCACGTGGTCACTAACACGCCTGATAATGAATGAGTGAGTGAGTGAAGTTTAACGTCGTCTGTGAGTGAGTGAGTGAGTGAGTGAGGACATCAGAAATGGGCTCAACACGTTTGGCCCATGTGAGAATGGAACCTGCATCTTCGGGTGACGAGCGAACTCTCTAACCAATAATGGCCCTGCTACACTACAACGTTTTAGAGTAATTTGCACCTAGCGTGAAAAAGACATTTAGTACGCTGTTATACGTCGAGTTTTCATTTTGGCGTATCCATAGCGTATACATAATGAGTTCACCGTATATGTACATGCCTAACGTATTTGTAGCGTATCACTGACTTATACATAACTTATCACAGCGTATAAAAGCGTACTGCCAGCGTGTCTGGTGTGTTCAACGTTTGCCCAGTGTAAGAGTAACGTATGACGAGCGCGCTCAGCGTAGGGGGAAGGTGCCTTAAACGGGCCCAGCGGTAATATAACTAGTAGTGTACACCCATTTATCAAATTACCACGAAAAGCGAAGCAGTCTAGATATGTAAAAGGTTCAGACGTTCCATACGCAGAAAATTTTGTGCATGCACAAAAATGTTTTTAAGCCTCGGCGTACTTCAACGTATACCAGCGTGCTTTTAACGTATACAACTTACACCTAATTTATCCATAGCGTGTTTCAGCGTTGCCGGCGTTTTGGCAAAAATTCTCATACGTCGCCATACGTTACTGCTATACGTTGTAATGTGACAGGGCCATAAGCTACCCCACCGCGCTTAGCGTCGCTTTAATGTGAGAGAGCACCCACACTGATGAAAGTCGTAGACGTTAACTGTTTGGTGAAACCAACGAGAATGGAGGATCAGGTCTGCAAACGATGTTTCAAACGTTTTTGATAATCTCTTAATACGTCCTTTGGTCGTAATGACACGAGATTGTGTTGACTTGCCTTTGCAGGTGTTTTTGACGGGTGCGATCTGTGGGGCAGGATATATTTACGTTTTCGCGAACCCCTTGTATCATCACTATTTGATAGAGATTCATAAACACAATCATGTTGTAATACACTCGGAATCGTACAATGTTGGTTGGTTGGTTGTTTAACGCTGCACTCAGCAATATTCCAGCTAAATAATCGAGTCTGGACCAGACAGTCCAGTGATTGATATCATGAGCATCGATCCACGCAATTGGGATCGATGACATGCATCAACCATGTCAGCGAGCCGGACCACCCGATCCCGTTTGTCGCCTTTTACGACAAGCATAGTCGCCTTTTACGACATGCATGGGTTGCTGAAGACCTATTCTACCCCGGATCTTCACGGGTCGAATCGTACAATCAACTCGGACTTTATAAGAAATTTCTTATCATTTTTCTTATCATTTATTTAGTCGTATTTGTTTATATAATCAGCCGGAGAAAGTACCTGAGGAAGTTGGTCCAACCGCCGTTGTCAGTGGTCATGTCGCAGTTGCCGAGGACCTCGCCACCGCCGGGGGCCTTCATCGAGTACACGCCGTCAGCGGTGATGTTCTGATACTTGCGGAGGTCCCAGCAGTTATTTTCTGGAGCTGTGGAGACGTGGTAGATATATACAGACACGCTTGATGTATCACAAATAGGCAACACTTTTAGGACACGAAGGCAACACTTTTAAACTTTCGATTAACGGATTCAAACCAAAATATACAACCAGAAAATAAAATAGTAGTTTGACATTTATTTAGTTTTCCGATAGCTCTCTCTGTGAGGGGTTATTAAAAAGATAAGATAAACAACAAAAAATGTTAACGATTTAAAAAATAATTGCACTATGTATAGAATCTGGTCACTATGGCACATTATGAAGAGAGCATACCCCTCGATGAAAAAAAAAGTTCATACAATGACACATTGCTGTAAAAATAGTTAAAAACCTACACTATTTCCACTAAACCGACAGACTGTAACAACTTTATGCCAAAATATAAAATATTTATATTGACTTACACAAAATCTTATTTAATGCCAAAATAATACACTAATAAGGTATACACTTAAAACGTTCCACCTTATTAGATATGAAAGGTCAGTTCCTAGCATGCATCCTATCTCTTTGGACAGCCTAGTCGTTAAATCTTACGAAACATAGTTCTTGTGTTGGAAGTTTTAGACCAATGTTGGTGATGTGAAAGGTATTGGAGGTGTACGTACTCTCCTCACAGTAGTTGCCGGTGATCTCGGGGTAGGTGCAGTTGCAGCTGTAGCTGCCGTGGGTGTTGACACACACGCCGTACACGCATGGGTTGGCAGCAAGACACTCGTCGAAATCTGAATACAAACAGAAGTGAAGAGTACGCTAGTGTTCAGAGCGTCACAGTGAGCCGTGCTGACATTGCTTCAGATTTAATCTGGCTGTCGACCAATTTAACTTAGGATGACACAGAATGGAATCCTAACAGCATAAAACAACACATTTTAATAACCAGCATTTGATTCTGCTAGGGTTGCGTCTTTTACAGAAGCAATGTGCATGTTCCTTGATTGGCATCACGTTGACTCAAAGCTTCAACATCGTAGTCCCTTTTTACACAATGGCACCAAAAGAACACTCTCAAACAGGGAGCATCAGATAACATTTACATTTGCTGCATCAGACAACTCTACACTGACGTTATCACACCATCTTCGCATTGACATTATCCGACCATCTTCACAATGACAATATGCAACCATCCTTACGTTATCAGAAAATTCTTACATTGGCATTATCAGACCATCTTTACATTGCCATTATCAGTCCATACGTATATTGGCATTATCAGACCATCTTTACATTGCCATTATCAGTCCATACGTATATTGGCATTATCAGACCATCTTTAAATTGCCATTATCAGTCCATACGTATATTGGCATTATCAGACCATCGTTACATTGCCATTATCAGTCCATACTTATATTGGCATTATCAGACCATCCTTACATTGCCATTATCAGTCCATACTTACATTGACATAGTCAGACCATACTTACATTGACATTATCAGTCCATACTTATATTGGCAATATCTGACCATCTTTACATTGCCATTATCAGTCCATACTTATATTGGCATTATCAGACCATCTTTACATTGCCATTATCAGTCCATACTTATATTGGCATTATCAGACCATACTTACATTGACATTATCAGTCCATACGTATATTGGCATTATCAGACCATCTTTACATTGCCATTATCAGTCCATACTTATATTGGCAATATCAGACCATCTTTACATTGCCATTATCAGTCCATACTTATATTGGCATTATCAGACCATCCTTACATTGCCATTATCAGTCCATACTTACATTGACATAATCAGACCATACTTACATTGACATTATCAGTCCATACTTATATTGGCAATATCTGACCATCTTTACATTGCCATTATCAGTCCATACTTATATTGTCAATATCTGACCATCTTTACATTGCCATTATCAGTCCATACTTATATTGGCATTATCAGACCATCTTTACATTGCCATTATCAGTCCACACTTATATTGGCATTATCAGACCATCCTTACATTGCCATTTTCAGTCCATACTTACATTGATATAATCAGACCATACTTACATTGACATTATCAGTCCATACGTATATTTGCATTATCAGACCATCTTTACATTGCCATTATCAGTCCATACTTATATTGGCAATATCAGACCATCTTTACATTGCCATTATCAGTCCATACGTATATTGGCATTATCAGACCATCCTTACATTGCCATTATCAGTCCATACTTACATTGACATAATCAGACCATACTTACATTGACATTATCAGTCCATACTTATATTGGCAATATCTGACCATCTTTACATTGCCATTATCAGTCCATACTTATATTGGCATTATCAGACCATCCTTACATTGCCATTATCAGTCCATACTTACATTGACATAATCAGACCATACTTACATTGACATAATCAGACCATACTTACATTGACATTATCAGTCCATACTTATATTGGCAATATCTGACCATCTTTACATTGCCATTATCAGTCCATACTTATATTGGCATTATCAGACCATCCTTACATTGCCATTATCAGTCCATACTTACATTGACATAATCAGACCATACTTACATTGACATAATCAGACCATACTTACATTGACATTATCAGTCCATACTTGCATTGGCCTCATCAGACCATCCTTACATTGCCATTATCAGTCCATACTTACATTGACATAATCAGACCATACTTACATTGACATAAAACAGACCATACTTACATTGACATTATCAGTCCATACTTGCATTGGCCTCATCAGACCATCTTCTCACTGGCATTATCAAGCCATCCGAACATAGGCATTATCGGACCATACTTACATTGACATTATCAGAACATCTTCTCACTGGCATTATCAGGCCATCCGGACATGGCTTTATCAAGCCATACTAACATAGGCATTATCAGACCATACTTACATTGGCGTCGTCAGACAACCCTTAAGTTGGAAACATCAGGCCATCTTCACATTGGCGTCCTCAGACAACATTTACACCAGCATCATGACAACGTTCACATTGGTATGATCAGACAACCATACCATTGACATAACCATGCAACATTTACACTGACGTGACTACCTTAATTTTGGCATGATAAGAAACTATTTGCACTGGTCAAGACACAGGTACATAGTTTACAAATATATAGTGGGTGATCAGATCCTCACCTTCTTCACAATTGACTCCGCTGAAACCCGGTGGACATGCGCAGTAGTAGCCGTTGATGTCATCCAGACAGAAACCTCCGTTAACGCAAGGTCCAGAGAGGCACTCGTTGATATCTGCAGAGGAATAACTCGTTGCTTTAAAGTCAAATAATTTCGTGGAAATGACGCCCCTAACCTGTGTCGCGATCCGCTGATCGTTGGTTCGAATCCCAGATGGGACTGATAGTCTTCATTTGTCTGTCAGCACCATCTGTGGTCGTGGGTTTCTGCAAACGTCACGATGGGCGTCGGGTAGCCTAGTGGTTAAAACGTTTGAAGACCCGGGTTCGATTCCCCACATGGGTACAATGTGTGAAGCCCATTTCTGGTGTCCCCCGCCGTGATAATGCTAGAATATTGCTGAAAGCGGGGTAAAAAAGACTCACTATGCCCTTCAAAGTGGAGTTAAAATGAACTCGCCCTCTCACACATTTGATAAATAGTCTCACACACTCACTCACTCACTCACTCACTCACTCACTCACTCACTCACTCACTCACTGATTTCACAGCTGGAGCCGGAGAAGCCTGGTTCACAGATACACACATAGCGGGCTATCAGATCTGTGCAGTGGCCGCCATCGCCGCAAGGATTGCCCGCGCATTCGTTAATATCTGCAAAGAGGAAAAGGCATGGCAATAGTGAGGTCGTGATTATAAATAATAGGTGGCAAATCATATAACATAACCGTTAATATATATCCAAATATGAAGTAGTATCGTTGAGAGAAAAGTATTTAAAGTTTAAAGGAAAACCAATTGACGGGCAAAACGAAAGTATAAACATGAATATTTGACAAAGATTTACGAAGGTTGTCAAAACTTTACTAGGTTGAAACAGTTGCGGAAACATGGCAACTAAAGGTAAAAAACACAGCAATAATGCTATCAAACACATCACTCTCGAATGTCTTATTTGTATCGTATTGGCCACCATCAAACATGGCTGTATACTTTCCTTTTCCTGTCAGTTTAGTAATTCCTAGATCTAAATGTACCAAATGTGAAAATGAGAATATAATTTACAAGTAACAGTGAATTCATGGTTTGGTCATGCACCAATATCATCACAAGAAGGAATATTGCCTGATACATATATTGTATTGTATAATTTCCAAAATATATATCAAATATTTTCAACTGACAACCAAAGAAGTCTAAAATATCTGCCCCTGATGAACTTTTACTTGCAATGGTCTAGTTGGCCAGTGTATTCGACGAAACCTATGAGACATTGTTCAAATACGGCTTTGTACCCACGGGGGAGATATTAGTTAATGTTATATTAAATGTGTGTTGAGTGTTTCGTGATGCTATCCACCAACACCTCACGTACTGATGCTGCAGTTGCGACCAGTGAATCCATTTTGACAGGTGCAGTGGAAGTCCCCGACCATGTCGGTACAGTTGCCATGTTCACAGGGGGTCGCATCACACTCGTCGATGTCTGAAGAATAACGAGAACTGTTTGCATTCCACAAAACACAAAACCTGAGACATTAACGCTCTTGCTCGCGAGAAAGCATATTACTGACTTCGCATCTCAGTGGCAACAAATAGTTAAAGAATTCGACCAGACAAAATGGACACTCCCATTCAACCCCACTCTCTAATAGTTTGTCAACATGGGTACTTCCAGTACTCATTAGTACTACTTACTATTCAAAAGAAGTTAAAGAACACCCATAACACTGCGGGTGCGTAATGTAAGAAAGCTACGCGATAAATCGCAAACAAGGTTGAAAGTTGAAATAGCGACGTGCTTGCACGTGTGTGTGTGTGTGTGTGTGTGGCTGCTTTATTTATAGTGCTAGCTCACTGAGATACCATGCCGCAGTTTAACATGAACACCCCACTCAGACACAGTATACTGACTCCGAGCTGACCAGTCCTTGTTTTATCCCCTAAATACCGAGCGCCAGACAGGGTAACAACAAGTACCATCTTTTAACGTCTTTTGGTATGACGCGGCCGGGGATCGAACCTCGGACCTTCCGCTCTCCGGGCGGACGCTCTACCACTAGACCACGGAGGCGGTCAACTCGCAAAGAACGAGTGGGAGTTGTTTATTGTACAACAAAACACTGCAGGGAGAAAATTCTCAGTGTTTTATTGTAGGATAAACAACGATCACGAGTCGTTTATTTCTTGTATAAGATATCAATATTATGTACAGCCTCTTTAAGGGTGTTAATAAAATGCACAAGTTAATTTGTTTTACTCGTATTTAAATAATAATTATAATCTGAATAGAATCCGACTTCGGCAATGTCGGACAAGTCCATTTTATTAACAGGGGGATAAAATTTGGTCTTTTCCTCATATTGTCACAATTTTCAAGTCGATTATCTGCAAATTTATAGAAGAATATTTTATCGTGAAATAAAGCACGCATCGTTCTTCGTTGTTCTTTGTGATTTAAAACACACGCATGGTCTGCAAGTTTAAATGCCAATGCTGCTGTGCTGTTTTGATAACATGTCTTCAATGGCGGTATGTTTTATTTTTTCCTTGTTTGGAAACTATATGGCTGTTTTATTTTTCTTTAAAAAATTGTGAAATTGTCAGAAACGATTCTTTCACCTCGTGTCTTTAGTTTCAAATATACTGTTACATATAAAATCTTATCTCTGTAGAACATGATACCGGTATAATTATAGGCGTTATTTTTTCACCTTGGCATCGTAAGCAAGGTGCGTACAAAATAGCCTCGCTGATTCGTCCCACGTTTCATAATCACATTCCTCACTTAATGTGAGCTCTTCCAAATGCCTTGTGGAATTTCAAAACATACCGACGGCAATGTAAACCATTTTATCCACATGGTCATTAGATCTCCACGTTCTTGGAATTCGAACATTTCACCATGGAGGTGAGCTAAAAGAGGTTCAATGTCGCGTTTTAGATCATTGCTCGTGCGTGCGTGCGTGTGTGGCTGTATGTTTGTTGTTTAATGCCGCAATATTCCAGCTATATGTCTGCGGTCTGTAACTAAACGAGTCTGGACCAGACAATCCAGTGATTGACATCATGAGCTTCGACCTATGCAATTGGGATACGATGACATGCATCAACCGAGTCAGCCAGTCAGCGAGCCTGACCACCCGATCCCGTTAGTCGCCTCTTATATTATGACAAGCATAGTCGCCTTTTACGACAAGCATGGGTTGCCGAAGACCTATTCTCACCCTGATCTTCACAAGTGGCTGTTTGTACTAGTCCGGACTAATGCCGGCTTAATAGTGCCAGTCCACTGAGCTACCATGTCGTAACCATGGATACCCTGCTCAGACACAGTATACAGTTTAATCTCTTTCATGCCGAGCGCCAGGCAGGGAAACAACAAGTACTATCTTTTAACGTGTTTTGGAAGGCGCGGCCAGGGAGAGAGCTCCCGACCTTCCGTTCTCCGGACATATCCACTAGAACACGGAGGCGGTCTATTTGTCATGGTGGAAATAAATGAATGTAATAACAATCAAATGTCGGTTACGAAACACGGCCGGCAGGAGCGACATTTACGTGGCGAAACAAAGATGATTTATCAGCCGAAAATCGATACCGGATTAACAACGCCGATCTAACGGAGGCAAGAAACTTGGCTGAGAAACATGAACCGGTAAAGAACAACTACATGAGAGCCGAAAACATAGCGAGGCATCCTCTTAGGGATAACCTCCCGGATACGTCCCGTTTCCCATCACTTATGGCATTATGTAAATTACGATCGTAATAATTGTTATTGATTTACGAGATGTGTCTTTTTTACCTGGTTTTATCGATTTCAGATACCGTTTTTGCTGAAATTAATTTGTAATTGTAAAAAGTACGACTCCATCTATTGTCCTGAATTTTTTAGCGAAATCCATCGATCGACTTGAAATAGATATTTCCGCCTGTAGTGCTGGTTCGGGGCTCCAGATTACAAGGCGGGGTAGACATCTGGTATAAGAGGCGGTGGTTGTAAAGTTTATAATACCTTGTGAAAGACCAGTACCTGAAATACTCGTGCTAAAAATGAAATGAATTTTGAAATGATGAAATATGAAAAGACAAGGCAATATCAGAGTGTCCCTGTATGTCCATGGGCCCCTGTATGTCATGTGAATGTCCATGGGCCACTGTATGTCATGTGAATGTCCATGGACTCCTGTATATGTTGTGAATGTCCAAAAACTCCTGTATGTCCATGTTGATGTCCATGGGCCCCTGTATGTCCATGTGAATGTCCATGGGCCCCTTTAGGTCATGTGAATGTCCATGGGCCCCTGTATGTCCGTGTGAATGTCTATGGGCCCCAGTATGTTATGTGAATATCCATGGGCCCCTGTATGCCATGTGAATGTCCATGGACCCCGGTATGTCATGTGAATGTCCATGGACTCCTGTATATGTTGTGAATGTCCAAGAACTCGTGTATGTCCATGTGGATGTCCATGGGCCCCTGTATGCCCGTGTGAATGTCCATGGGCCCCTGCATGTATATCATGTGAATGTCCATGGACTCCTGTATATGTTGTGAATGTCCAAGAACTCGTGTTTGTCCGTGTGGATGTCCATGGGCCCCTATATGTCCGTGTGAATGTCCATGGGCCCCAGTAGGTCATGTGAATTTCCATGGGTCCCTGTATGTCCGTGTGAATGTCCATTGGCACCTGTATGTCATGTAAATGTCCATGGGCCCCTGTAGGTCATGTGAATGTCCATGGACTCCTGTATGTCATGTGAATGTCCAGTGGCCCCTGTATGTCCGTGTGAATGTCCATGGGCCTTGTATGTCCGTGTGAATGTCCATGGACTCCTGTATGTCCGTGTGATTGTCCATGGGTCCCTGTATGTCCGTGTGAATGTCCATGGGCCCTGTATGTCCGTGTGAATGTCCATGGACTCCTGTATGTCCGTGTGATTTTCCATGGGTCCCTGTATGTCCATGTGAATGTCCATGGATCCCTGTATGTCATGTGAATGACCATGGGCCCCTGTATGTCATGTGAATGTCCATGGGTCCCTGTATGTCCATGTGAATCTCCATGGACTCCTGTAGGTCATGTGAATATCCATGGACTCCTGTATGTCATGTGAATGTCCATGGGTCCATGTATGTCCATGTGAATTTCCATAGGGTCATGTATTTCAATGTGAATGTACATGGACTCATGTATGTCATGTGAATGTCCATGGGTCCCTGTATGTCCATGTGAATGTCCATAGGGTCATGTATTTCCATGTGAATGTCCATGGACTCCTGTAGGTCATATGAATGTCCATGGACTCCTGTATGTCTACATGAATGTCCATGGACTCCTGTATGTCTACGTGAATGTCCACTGACCTCTTTGTGTCCATACGAATGTCCACGTTTTCGCGGAATTACAGCTGCACGCTTATATAACGCGTGCCGTAGATAAAATACCTATACACACACCGGGGTTACCTTGATGTGAGCCCTGCCAACAGGACTATGTGTTCCTAGGTTGTGTTCTGGAACGGAGTTAGCAGATGCACAGATGATTAGGCTTAGAATAACGCGTTAAGCAGTCTATAATTATTTCTCAACTAATTCTCCATGAATAATCGGGGTTTGTTTTCTGCCTTGTTCTCCGTCGCAGCGCAAGAGGATGAAGTAATCGTTCAGGGGTATAATTGTAATATCACAGCCTAACATCATTGCCACCAGGGTGTAATTGTGTTGAGGATTTTAGATAATAGTGGAGGGGTTGCGTTTGTGCGATATGTTTGTATCGAGTGAAACGACTTTCGGTCTTGGCCATCAATGTCTACATTTTGTTGAGGAACGTTTTGCAGAATAAGCTAAACATTTATTTTTATAGCTAAAATGGATAGAAATATCATTAAACCGCCCGCATGTTATCAAAAATGAGCGGGCCACTGTAGCTTATAATAATAATGCCCTCATATTGCTTGACGACAGGCCATTATCACGCCCGTTGTTAGGTGACATCATAGGATAGGGATAGGTGACGTCAGGTTCAATAGTGACGTCATCTAGTCTGGTCTATGACGTTTCCATATTTGTAAAAGTGGGTCAGTGACATTTGTGTCGATTGCAGTAAATGTTTCAAAACCGATATTGTTGTTTCTTTTTATTTGATAACAAATTCCATCCATTTTAGCTATAATAATGGTAACGCTATTTTTCAGGGCATTATCATTTGCAAATGATAAAAATAGCGTTTCCCTTATATTAACACGTTTTTGATCAATTTTGCCTGAAAGTGGCTTGGTGTCGAAATACGTTCAATGAATTCTGTAAGAGTAATAAAATTCCAAGTAGAACCGTTGGCCACGTTATACGACCAGATGTGCGTTGTGATTAAACAGTAAAAATTTTGTTTTTTATTTAGTGGCGGATAGCGGGTGCTGGCGGTGGGGGGGGGGGGGGGGGGGGGGGGGGGGGGGGGGGGGGGGGTTCGCGAACACCTGGTGTCATCACTGATTTTCAGTGATCCATTCATATAGTTTTTACCGCTAATTTGCCATTTACGTGCTATGGAATCTGTTTTTGCAGATAATCGAGACTGATTACTCTTTAGGGTTGGCGTTTCTTGTTTACATGACTTGTATGTAGAGTTCAAAATAACCGATGACGTATCAAAACACCACAAAAGAGACAATACATTACATATTTCTTGGTGCCACGTGGTCGTGTACTCTTTATACCTATATAAGCGAGCTAGCAACCATGTTGACGTAAATATATTATGGAATCATTACAGATAAGGTTATTAGGGTAATTTGCTTCAGCTTAAATGTTTCATATGAAAACGATGTGATATACACAATCCTCCACAATAGATAATAATCGACTACACCCTTGGTAAATTTTACCTACATGTTATACACAGAAATTCTGCCGTGAACATGTTGGTATTGCGGTGTAGGCAGGTCAATGGCCAACATTTCCTGTTTATGGACACTGTTATGATTTTATCGCCAAAACGCCGCACCGATGAAGACACCGAGGCAGATGCTGCTAATACCATCATGTCTGTCGTCCGGACAACCGAACATAACGGTAAACTAAGGCTATATCATACTTTGCGCATAGTTAACACCTCACAGCTAGTAAACACGGCTGATTGGTATTCATAGCCCCTCGGCTTCAATTTTCCAGTTCATCTTTGAGGATTTTGTCCAATCTTAAATGGAATTGGCTCCTAATATGGCAGGATATGAAGATATGCCCCCATGTTGTTTCCTATGTTTGACGGCATGTCGGCCGATGCATTCATTAAGATATGCCCCCCATGTTGTTTCCTATGTTTGACGTCATGTCGGCCGATGCATTCATTAAGATATGCCCCCATGTTGTTTCCTATGTTTGACGGCATGTCGGCCGATGCATTCATTAAGATATGCCCCCATGTTGTTTCCTATGTTTGACGTCATGTCGGCCGATGCATTCATTAAGATATGCCCCCATGTTGTTTCCTGTGTTAGACGTCATGTCGGCCGATGCATTCATTAAGATATGCCCCCATGTTGTTTCCTATGTTTGACGGCATGTCGGCCGATGCATTCATTAAGATATGCCCCCATGTTGTTTCCTATGTTTGACGGCATGTCGGCCGATGCATTCATTAAGATATGCCCCCATGTTGTTTCCTATGTTTGACGTCATGTCGGCCGATGCATTCATTAAGATATGCCCCCATGTTGTTTCCTATGTTTGACGTCATGTCGACCGATGCATTCATTAAGATATGCCCCCATGTTGTTTCCTATGTATGACCGTCATGTCGACCACCTTTAAGGTATGTGCTTGATGTTGTTTCCTGTGTTAGGCGTCATGTCGGCCACATAAAGATATGCCCCCATAGTTCAACGTATTTACAAGGTATGCGTGTTTCTTTTAACAAAAAATGCATGATGTATGTATGTATGCAATAAAGTAATATTTGAGGTTGACATGAGTATGCAAAGCAAAATGACATTCAGATAAGATGTAAACTTCTTTGGAATATACTTTTTTCTTAATTGAAGATAGAGTTTACACACAAGCATAAAATAATGATACTCATTTTCTGCAACATTAAGGTTACAAGATGTACAGATATTGTTAGACTTTTTAAATATACCTTTATATATATTTAAATCCCAATAACCTGCTCTGAACTGCGCTAGCGATACTCGAAGCTTTTTTAATGTAACAGATATTAGATATTCTTCGAGTATAAATTGTTGTTTGAAGAGAGAATAGGTATATGTACATTTGCTAATTCTTAGTTTTTCTATCCATATTTGCTCAAACCAATCTTTAGCTCTTTGGAGTAATAATGACATAAACATCTTGACATTTCCAACACCCTGATCCGTCTATGCGTATCCAAGGCCTAAACTGAAAAGGGTGATTTTGATATTTGTTGCCCAATTATTTTTATTTCGTGAGTGACTGGCATTTTGATCCAGATAGAACAGCATGTTAAAGGCTTTTACTGGGTATCGCGTGGATGGAAGAGTCATTAGTTTTAACCAATAAGTTACACAGCGCTTAGGCGAAAATATATACAATGGATATCTGCCACATTCCCCAAGTACAATATCATTTGGGGTGGAGCATCGAACCCCAATTACACGTTTACACGCATAAAGATGAACTTTTTCTATACACTCATATTTTCTATAACCCCATATTTCTGATCCATAAAGTAAAATTGGCATTATCTTTGTATCAAATATTTGAAAGTATAAATTACAAGGCAGATTATCATATTTTAACAAACTTTGTAGGATTGACATCAACACTTTCTTAGCTTTAACAAAATTAATGTAGATTCTAGATATAAATTCCAACTCAAATTCCTAGTAAACAATATTCCAATGTAAGTATAAGATGAAACTACCTCTATATGTGTATCCTTGTATATCCATTTCTCTAATTTTGATAATTTCCCACCGCCTTTAAAAACAAGAACTTAAGTTTTATTTAGATTGACGGACAGTGACCACTTGTCACAATAATTTTCCAAAATATTGATTTGACGTTGAAGACCAATTACCGAATCAGAAAAAGGACAACATCGTCAGCAAAAAGTAAAAAGAATATTTCTATTAGATCTGGATATAACTGGATGCCATTTTTAGATTTTGAATTAATTTCAAAAACATGTTTATTTATGAAGAAAGATTAAGATATTTCGCTATGTTGTTTCTTATGTTTTACTGTCATGTCGACCACATCAAGATATTTCCCTATGTTGTTTCTTATGTTTTACTGTCATGTCGACCACATCAAGATATTTCCCTATGTTGTTTCTTATGTTTTACTGTCATGTCGACCACATCAAGATATTTCCCTATGTTGTTTCTTTTGTTTTACTGTCCTGTCGACCACATTAAAAGATTTCCCTATGTTGTTTCTTATGTTTTACTGTCATGTCGACCACATTAAGCTATTTCGCTATGTTGTTTCTTATGTTTTACTGTCCTGTCGACCACATTAAAAGATTTCCCTATGTTGTTTCTTATTTTTTACTATCATGTCGACCACATTAAGCTATTTCGCTATGTTGTTTCTTATGTTTTACTGTCCTGTCGACCACATAAAAAGATTTCCCTATGTTGTTTCTTATGTTTTACTGTCATGTCGACCACATCAAGATATTTCCCTATGTTGTTTCTTATGTTTTACTGTCATGTCGACCACATCAAGATATTTCCTTTCTGTTCTTTCTTATGTTTTACTGTCATGATAGTGCCTCCTGTTGACATATGTATTTAAATACAATATCTCAAATATCAGAGTCGTTTTTGCCCAGTAAATTTCACAATGTTGTTTTCACTCTATTCCCATAGCACGTTTACCTGTGAAGATGACGTGTTACTGTTAAAAGATATGGTGGATATATATTTTTGACAAATATATATGACATATGCAACAAATTATTCGAATGATTGTCTTTTTTACTGTCAATTCTGTAGCTATTGAAGTGTCTTAACCACCACAACAGTCACGCTCGTAACGTACAGAGACCTAAGGACATCAAGGTTTTGGTGTTTCCCTACCACTTTGGACTGGAGAAAAAGGGTTGATTTAGGCCTAAACATCTGGGTAGGTTTAGGCCTAAACATCTGGGTTGGTTTAGGCCTAAATAAATCTCGGTTGATATAGGCCTTAACATCTGGGTTGGTTTAGGCCTAAACATTTGGTTTAGATTAGGCCTATATATCTGGGTTTGTTTAGGCCTATATATCTGGGTTGGTTAAGGCCTATATATCTGGGTTGGTTTAGGCCTATATATCTGGATTGGTTAAGGCCTATATATCTGGGTTGGTTTAGGCCTTAATATATCTGGGTTGGTGTAGGCCTAAATATATCTCGGTTGATTTAGGCCTTAACATCTGGGTTGGTTAAGGCCTATATATCTGGGTTGGTTTAGGCCTTAATATATCTAGGTTGGTTTAGGCCTAAATATATCTGGGTTGATTTAGGCCTATATATCTGGGTTGGTTTAGGCCTAAACATTTGGGTTGACTTAGGCCTACACATCTGGGTTGGTTTAGGCCTAAATATATCTGGGTTAGTGTAGGGCTAAATATATCTGGGTTAGTGTAGGCCTAAATATATCTGGGTAGCCTCGACGCTTCTGAACGTCTTTCTGGCTTCCTGCTCTTGATAAAAACAGAATCCATACCTGTTTCACAGTTGTGTCCAGTGTAGCCGGTGCGGCAGACGCAGATGTAGCGGTCGTTGAGGTTCTGGCAGATGGCGCTGTTCTTGCATGGGGCGGAAGCGCAGTAGTCTGTGGGAGGCAGCACAGTAGTAACATCAATCACAGAACTATGGGCTTACAGAGAATACATTCCATCTTTGTTTTTTACTCTTTTTTTTTCAAATTTTCTTTTGTGTGTCACTATGTTATTGATGCGCCGTCATACATATCTAACATGATGAACGTCAAGATATGTTTGCATGATTATGGAGTATTAAATGTTCTCATCAACAATGTAGGTTCAAGCCGCTTATACAGATTCGGCAATTGACATAAGTCCAAGAGCAAGAGTTAAACCCAAAGCACAGCTTACGACTCTTCTCCAATAAGTGTATTTATAATCGGATACAAATTTCACAGGCCATGGAACATGAATAACTCGTATTGTAATTTATCTCGTGTGCCAATATGTCAAGTCAGCGTTGTAGCAGGATAACAAGGGGAACATGGGGTTTTGTTTTGTGCGTCCAGCGTTGGGTTTTACTGGTTGGTTGGTTGCTTGCTTGCTTTGTTTGTTGTTTAACGCCGCACTCAGCAATATTCCAGCTATATGACGGCGGTCTGTAAATAATCGAGTCTGATAATCCGGATAGAGAATAGGCAACCCATGCCTGCCGTACGAGGCGACTGTGTTTGTCGTAAAAGGCGACTAACGGGTTCGGGTTGTCAGACTGATGGCTGATGCATATCATCGTATCTCAATTGCGTAGATCGATGCTCATGATGTCAATCAGTGTATTGTCTGGTCCAGACTCGGTTATTTACCGACCGCCGACATATGGCCGTCTACTAGACTATGGAGGGGTTCAAGGATAAGTAGGTAGGATTTAGACGGTTTCCGATCAGCAAGAATTACCGTGTATTTACTTTTATAAACATCTTTAACTTAGCCATTGCATCAAGCATTTGAACATACACACTTTCCCCTACGACGTATCTGGTATAATGGATTTCACTCAAACAGGAGTCAAGGGCGCAGAAGATTCATTGTGTCATCTTAGTAGATTAACATTGTCACTTAGTAATGGCGTCTTCTATGAAGTCTTATGACGAATATATCCAAATGCATACACATCTTTCTTCCTACTCAAACCATATGCACTTACAGAATCTGAAAACTATTTCCGGTAACCTTAAAATACAAGCGGATAGCACTAACAGCAAGACAGACGTTATGTCAAAATTCTAGACACCAAGTCTTGACCGAATACTACTTGACCTTGTCTAGAGTGAAGTTTAACAGCTTTCCGCAATATAAAAACACCTAGCACTAGACCCTGCTCCCTGCCTCACATGTTGCAACACGAGTTCTATGACTTTCATAACGTGGACGTTCTTAATCTTTGTCATCGTCAAGAAAAATGAGTGAGTAAGTTTGGTTTAACGCCGCTGTGAACATATTTCAGTTATATTACAGCTTGTAAACTTGATGTGGGAGGAAAGCCCGAAGTATCATTTGCCACATCGTTTAAATCCACGAGCATGGAATGGTGCTGATAAACCTAGAAATATAAACAGGACAGACGGGGATTCGAACCCACAATCATAGGTTTCTGGCACGCCAAAGGGACACAACTCTGCACAGTTAACTCGGCCACCCATATCCCCTCAAGGAAAGATGTCATACCCAAGGGGTACACTTGATGAATCAGTCAATAACTCTAAAATACGAATTATGTTCATAACAACATGAAAAATATGTTTCATGCCTCTGTGTCATAGAATGAATCAACCAAAATGAGTGAAGAGTGCGTCGCTCCAGGATCCGCTGGTCAAAACCATCGAGCACCATTCCCGTGGATCTACCAAAGTTTCAAACATCTTAGACATCAAGCTGAAAGGCTTAAATGGAACTGATATACAACTCAAAGCAGCATAATACAAATCCCTCACTCACTCACTCACCATACAGCCTCTCTGTTCCGTACATGTTTACATGATTAAACTTGGGATGGAACGATGTGATAGACGATGGTGTTCAATAAGCTATAATAATTTTAACATAGAATTGGTAATCTGAGAAATAATATCCGGGTACCCAGAGCTCTGACCCATGGTCAAGGGAACCTGGATGAGCTCTGATGGGTACCCAGTACACGAACACAGATGAGGTTCAGATGAACGCGAGTACCTGCCAAAGGGAGATAACCTACATATTACCAGGTTGTTGACACGGAGGCGATAAGGTGCGTCGTCAGAACGGAGTGTGACTCCGGTTATTAGACAAAATGACAAAGCTTTGACTGTAGGGCATAATACTAATGTAATCGTGTACTGGATTTCGGGCCGGGTTTGAAGAGCCTAGTAAAAAATTTGCTACCGATCTACGTGGATTAACTGATTAATAAAATGCATTTAATATAGCGTCAGCAAGATATAGCTAGTAAGATGAAACAGTATGTCAGCGAAACGGGACACATTTTGTTCTCAGCAATATTATCTTGGTGGTATATTTGAGTCGGAAGCTATTATCAAAGCTATTAGGCTCGATTTTGTGTCTGTGGTGCCTCAATTTCATCTGAACTGGACTGGACGACCGTTCCAGCTTTTTGGACAATTCAACTGCCGTATTTAAAAAAACAACATCGCAAGACATTCATCCAAGTGCAATACGTCATTGCTTGGAGATATTCATCCAAGTTCAATACGTCATTATTTGGAGACATTCATCCAAGTGCAATACGTTATTGTTTGGAGTCATTCATCCAAGTGCAATACGTCATTATCTGGAGACATTCATCCAAGTACAATACGTCATTATTTGGAGTCATTCATTCAAATGCAATACGTCATTATTTGGAGTCATTCATCCAAGTGCAATACGTCATTTTTTGGAGACATTCATCCAAATACAAACGTCATTATTTGGAGACATTCCTCCAAGTGCAATGCGTCATTATTTGGAGACATTCATCCAAGTGCAATACGTCATTATTTGGAGATATTCATCCAAGTGCAATGCATCATTATTTGGAGACATTCATTCAAGTGCAATACGTCATTATTTGGAGACATTCATTTAGTGCAATACGTCATTATTTGGAGACATTCATCCAAGTGCAATACGTCATCATTTGGAGACATTCATCCAAGTGCAATACGTCATTATTTGGAGATATTCATCCAAGTGCAATACGTCATTTTTTGGAGACATTCATCCAAGTGCAATAGGTCTTCAGGAGATATTCATCCAAGTGCAATACGTCATTATTTGGAAACATTCATTCAAGTGCAATACGTCATTATTTGAGACATTCATCCAAATGCAATACGTCATTATTTTGAGACATTCATCCAAGTGCAATACGTCATTATTTGGAGACATTCATCCAAGTGCAATGCGTCATTATTTGGAGACATTCATCCAAGTGCAATACCTCATTATTTGGAGATATTCATCCAAGTGCAATACGTCATTATTTGGAGACATTCATCCAAGTGCAATACGTCATTATTTGGAGACATTCATTCAAGTGCAATACGTCATTATTTGGAGACATTCATCCAAGTGCAATACATCATTATTTGGAGACATTCATCCAAGTGCAATACGTCATTATTTGGAGACATTCATTTAGTGCAATGCGTCATTTTTTGGAGTCATTTATCCAATTGCAATACGTCATTTCATTCATCCAAATGCAATACATCATTATTTGGAGACATTCATTTAGTGCAATGCGTCATTATGTGGAGTCTTTTATCCAAGTGCAATACGTCATTATTTGGAGTCATTCATACAAATGCAATACATCATTATTTGGAGACATTCATCCAAGTGCAATACGTCATTATTTGGAGACATTCGTCCAAGTGCAATGCTCATAATGAACGCCAACTCAGACCTTTTTCGTCATGTATATGGTAACGTGGGTGTATTCTAATATCTTTTCCCAAGACGGGTGAACGAAAACGTGTGATACCTAGCACAGGCCAGGAAACTATTTTCAGTGCTCTGCCAACAGCAACCACCCACCTCCTCCAATAACGATCTTGCCAGCCAGACTGTTGTTCAAATTCTCCAAGTCTGTCTGTAGGTTGCGGTTCTCAGTCTGCAGCGAGGCAGTCTCACCAACCAACACCTGGACCAGGTTCTCCAGTCTTTGGTTGTTTTTCTTTAAACCCTCCAGTTCGTCTATAATGTTCATGTCTGAGCCAGTGTCATTACCCCCGAAATACGACAGCAGCTGAAGAATCTGATGGTCGTGGCGTTCAAGATGAGACACAATGGCCGACGCCGTTCTGTTGTCCACGACGCCGGGGTTCTCCAAAGCTTCGTGAGCAGGAATCTGTAACGTGTAGGTGCACTTCCCATCGGGGTCGCAGTGTCCCTCGAACTGGTGGATCGTGTAATCGAAGGGCCCCTCCCCTTGGACGCCCTGCACGACCATCAAACCCAGCAGCGTTGCCCACCACATTGTACCTACAGCAGAGTCCAATGCTAAAAGACCCACAATTACCTATCCAGCCAAACCTGACTATACCGTAAGCTCCACGTGGTTCGAGATAAAGAAGTACCGGTTTGAACTTTTTGCTGGGATGGCTTTGGAATTCTTCACAGAGATTTCTCGAAGCATTTTAACTAGGGTTTGCACACATACCCGATGCAATGCATTGAGTGACATCATATAGCTAACGCATGGGCGGATACAGCTCTTTTGAAAAGGGTGGGTGCACAATTGCACGATCTATTTATTGTCTTTAGTGGTAATTTATACAGAAATAAAGATTTTTTTCGAAATAAAATGGGTGGGTTCGCACCCCCGGAACCCCCTCTGTATCCGCCCATGTAACGCGTTGATACACGGCACGTGGAATTGCTATGTTTGAAATGTGTACTCATATTCATTAATGCTCTTTTTCAATGTATGCTTTATAAAATGCATGAGTTGTCATACTTGGCATTAGCTTTTTATCTAAGGTATTCCTGTGAATGTTACATGTGTACCTTATCTCTTGGTGTATTTTTACATGATCTTTCTTCAGATAACACTGTAAGCCGTTGCAGTTTCGCGAGGGCTATAGGGTTTTATATCACGAGTCGGAGACGAATGGTATAAAACCTAACGAGGGACGCATATAAAACCTCATATACCCCGAGTGATCCTGCTACAACGAATTTATCTCGCCGACATGTTTGAATCTGCCATTATAAAAGAATTAAAACAAACTGAAAATTGTTAGAAAATATTTGTTGAGGTGAGGTTAACTTTCACGTGACTTTCATTGACTCGTAAACAATGTACAGCTTTTTGCGGAGATGTATTCTCCCGCTCAGAAATTTCTTTCCCCTCCCATGCGGGATACATAGCAGTTGATCAATAGTCACGTGAACCAATCAGATCTCAATTGTCTGACATGGCGGTTACAAATAAGTATTATGGAGGTAGGCATGTGGAGAAAATAATACAGTAAACTACGTTTATAACGAACACGCTTATAACGAACAGACCGATATAACGAACCTATTTTAAGTCCCGGTCATTTGTTGTATATGTGCTGTATATATGTTTATAACGAACTACGGTTATTACAAACTAAAATTTGTGGTCCCCTTGAGTTCGTTATAACCGTACTTTACTGTATTGAACTATTAACATTATTACAAATGCAATTAAATCCACTATATAGACAGGGAATATTTTTGTGTCACCGCTTCAACACATGCCTAGAAATGGTTACGGCACCTGACAACATTAGAGGTACAGTTGGTTAGGGCACCTGACAACATTAGAGGTACAGTTGGTTAGGGCAGCTGACAACATTAGAGGTACAGTTGGTTAGGGCACCTGACAACATTAGAGGTACAGTTGGTTATGGCACCTGACACCACTGAGGGTGCAGTTGGTTAGGGCACCTGACAACATTAGAGGTGCAGTTGGTTAGGGCACCTGACAACATTAGAGGTACAGTTGGTTAGGGCACCTGACACCACTGAGGGTGCAGTTGGTTAGGGCACCTGACAACATTAGAGGTGCAGTTGGTTAGGGCACCTGACAACATTAGAGGTACAGTTGGTTAGGGCACCTGACAACATTAGAGGTGCAGTTGGTTAGGGCACCTGACAACATTAGAGGTACATTTGGTTAGGGCACCTGACAACATTAGAGGTACAGTTGGTTAGAGCACCTGACAACATTAGAGGTACAGTTGGTTAGGGCACCTGACAACATTAGAGGTACAGTTGGTTAGGGCAGCTGACAACATTAGAGGTACAGTTGGTTAGGGCACCTGACACCACTGAGGGTGCAGTTGGTTAGGGCAGCTGACAACATTAGAGGTACAGCTGGTTAGGGCACCTGACAACATTAGAGGTACAGTTGGTTAGGGCACCTGACACCACTGAGGGTGCAGTTGGTTAGGGCAGCTGACAACATTAGAGGTACAGTTGGTTAGGGCACCTGACAACATTAGAGGTACAGTTGGTTAGGGCACCTGACAACATTAGAGGTACAGTTGGTTAGGGCAGCTGACAACATTAGAGGTACAGTTGGTTAGGGCACCTGACACCACTGAGGGTGCAGTTGGTTAGGGCAGCTGACAACATTAGAGGTACAGCTGGTTAGGGCACCTGACAACATTAGAGGTACAGTTGGTTAGGGCACCTGACACCACTGAGGGTGCAGTTGGTTAGGGCACCTGACAACATTAGAGGTACATTTGGTGAGGGCAGCTGACAACATTAGAGGTACAGTTGGTTAGGGCACCTGACATTATTAGAGGTACAGTTGGTTAGGGCACCTGACAACATTAGAGGTACAGTTGGTTAGGGCACCTGACAACATCAGAGGTACAGTTGGTTAGGGCACCTGACAACATTAGAGGTACAGTTGGTTAGGGCAGCTGACAACATTAGATGGACAGTTGGTTAGGGCACCTGACACCACTGAGGGTGCAGTTGGTTAGGGCAGCTGACAACATTAGAGGAACAGCTGGTTAGGGCACCTGACAACATTAGAGGTACAGTTGGTTAGGGCACCTGACAACATTAGAGGTACAGTTGGTTAGGGCACCTGACAACATTAGAGGTACAGTTGGTTAGGGCACCTGACAACATTAGAGGTACAGTTGGTTAGGGCAGCTGACAACATTAGAGGTACAGTTGGTTAGGGCAGCTGACAACATTAAAGGTACAGTTGGTTAGGGCACCTGACAACATTAGAGGTACAGTTGGTTAGGGCACCTGACAACATTAGAGGTACAGTTGGTTAGGGCACCTGACAACATTAGAGGTACAGTTGGTTAGGGCACCTGACAACATTAGAGGTACAGTTGGTTAGGGCACCTGACAACATTAGAGGTACAGTTGGTTAGGGCACCTGACACCACTGAGGGTGCAGTTGGTTAGGGCAGCTGACAACATTAGAGGTACAGTTGGTTAGGGCACCTGACAACATTAGAGGTACAGTTGGTTAGGGCACCTGACAACATTAGAGGTACAGTTGGTTAGGGCAGCTGACAACATTAGATGTACAGTTGGTTAGGGCACATGACAACATTAGAGGTACAGTTGGTTAGGGAAGCTGACAACATTAGAGGTACAGTTGGTTAGGGCACCTGACAACATTAGAGGTACAGTTTGTTAGGGCAGCTGACAACATTAGAGGTACAGTTGGTTAGGTCACATGACAACATTAGAGGTACAGTTGGTTAGGGCAGCTGACAACATTAGAGGTACAGTTGGTTAGGGCACCTGACAACATTAGAGGTACAGTTGGTTAGGGCAGCTGACAACATTAAAGGTACAGTTGGTTAGGGCACCTGACAACATTAGAGGTACAGTTGGTTAGGGCACCTGACAACATTAGAGGTACAGTTGGTTAGGGCACCTGACACCACTGAGGGTGCAGTTGGTTGGGGCAGCTGACAACATTAGAGGTGCAGTTGGTTAGGGCACCTGACAACATTAGAGGTACAGTTGGTTATGGCACCTGACAACATTAGAGGTGCAGTTGGTTAGGGCAGCTGACAACATTAGAGGTACGGTTGGTTAGGGCACCTGACAACATTAGAGGTGCAGTTGGTTAAGGCACCTGACAACATTAGAGGTACAGTTGGTTAGGGCACCTGACAACATTAGAAGTACAGTTGGTAAGGGCAGCTGACAATATAGGTACAGTTGGTTAGGGCAGCTGACAACATTAGAGGTACAGTTGGTTAGGGCACCTGACAACATTAGAGGTACAGTTGGTTAGGGCACCTGACACCACTGAGGGTGCAGTTGGTTAGGGCACCTGACACCACTGAGGGTACAGTTGGTTAGGGCACCTGACACCACTGAGGGTGCAGTTGGTTAGGGCACCTGACAACATTAGAGGTACAGTTGGTTAGGGCAGCTGACAACATTAGAGGTACAGTTGGTTAGGGCAGCTGACAACATTAAAGGAACAGTTGGTTAGGGCAGCTGACAACATTAGAGGTACAGTTGGTTAGGGCACCTGACAACATTAGAGGTACAGTTTGTTAGGGCAGCTGACAACATAAGAGGTACAGTTGGTTAGGTCACATGACAACATTAGAGGTACAGTTGGTTAGGGCAGCTGACAACATTAGAGGTACAGTTGGTTAGGGCACCTGACAACATTAGAGGTACAGTTGGTTAGGGCAGCTGACAACATTAGAGGTACAGTTGGTTAGGGCAGCTGACAACATTAGAGGTACAGTTGGTTAGGGCAGCTGACAACATTAAAGGAACAGTTGGTTAGGGCAGCTGACAACATTAGAGGTACAGTTGGTTAGGGCACCTGACAACATTAGAGGTACAGTTTGTTAGGGCAGCTGACAACATAAGAGGTACAGTTGGTTAGGTCACATGACAACATTAGAGGTACAGTTGGTTAGGGCAGCTGACAACATTAGAGGTACAGTTGGTTAGGGCACCTGACAACATTAGAGGTACAGTTGGTTAGGGCAGCTGACAACATTAGAGGTACAGTTGGTTAGGGCAGCTGACAACATTAAAGGAACAGTTGGTTAGGGCAGCTGACAACATTAGAGGTACAGTTGGTTAGGGCACCTGACAACATTAGAGGTACAGTTGGTTAGGGCACCTGACAACATTAGAGGTACAGTTGGTTAGGGCACCTGACAACATTAGAGGTACAGTTGGTTAGGGCAGCTGACAACATTAGAGGTACAGTTGGTTAGGGCACCTGACAACATTAGAGGTACAGTTGGTTAGGGCACCTGACAACATTAGAGGTACAGTTGGTTAGGGCACCTGACAACATTAGAGGTACAGTTGGTTAGGGCAGCTGACGACATTAAAGGTACAGTTGGTTAGGGCACCTGACAACATTAGAGGTACAGTTGGTTAGGGCACCTGACAACATTAGAGGTACAGTTGGTTAGGGCACCTGACAACATTAGAGGTACAGTTGGTTAGGGCACCTGACAACATTAGAGGTACAGTTGGTTAGGGCACCTGACAACATTAGAGGTACAGTTGGTTAGGGCACCTGACACCACTGAGGGTGCAGTTGG